TTTTAAACGCTCGGTTTTTATAATCCCACGCAACGTTGCCAAATATGTAGTAATCCGAAAATTCGACCAATCAAAAACATAGAGACTTCTTGTATCTCGATTGAGTTCAATGATTACCTATTGTTGTTTGAGATGGCGTATAACTGAATCCATCAATGATGGTAATCTATATAAATACATCGATGGCGAATTGTCTGCAACGAATAATCAAAACATACGCATTAGTGCGTTACTCGGTCCGTGGTTTACCATATTATGCGTTTCACGTGCGAAATATTTTGCGTTAATACCTAAATAAAATGGAATATAACCAAGACTTGTATCCTCTGAACGTGGTGGAAATGGAATTGTTTTAAATTCCCACACACACACACACACACCGTTTTATTATACATTTTGCATAAGTTTTTCATAATTTATTTATGAGTTTTGACTTGAATATAGTTCGGAAACGTTGCACATAATTTCGTTCTCAATAGTACTGTTTTTCCGGGTCCAGCGGCTATTCCATTGTACCATTTCGAGCGTTCTCGACCGTATTGTGGCCAAAATTTGCATGCATTCAAATTCTGAATTTTGGAAGTTTTACTGCGCGCCTACCTAAGCTTAAAAGTGGAATATCTCGTTAACGGGCGGGCTGACGGAAATCAAAAATTTTGACAGTTATTGGAGGGGAGGGCGAAATGTTATGTTTGTTCCCCCAATACTTTGGACGGGGGGGGGGAGTGGGGCTTTGCCGCCGTCGAATTCCATCACCTAAAACTTGTGCGCTTAACAGGTGGATTATGACGACGACGACGACGACAGGTCGCGTTTGACGGCCGTGCGGATAGTGCAGATCAATGACACGAGTTTGCGGATGGTGTTACACAAGGATATCACGGACGAGGACGTCGACTTGGCCATCGGCAAGATTAAATACGTGGTCGGCAAAATCGACGCGCACAACGGGTAGCCTCCACTGTCTTTACACAAACGCCGCCGGTATAATATAATAAACGTCTTCTACGTGTAGGTATATATTTTTAGTGTTTTCATGTTTCTACGTTGTACTATCGTCCGATTGAAAATCGTATTCGTCACTGAATTATATTGTATTGTACAATCACATAGGTACGCGATTACATATTATTTCCGTTGATCATATAGGTGGTAAATTGTAAATTTTATAATTGATGATATTGTTTACTGATAATTTAAAATAATACGAATAATTTTTGACACAAATGCGACAATGAAGTTTTTTTTTTTTATGTTGCCCGTATTTGTCGAGTTTAGTACAATTACTGGTAGGCACCCAACGTATAATAATATCCCATCCAAAATTATTGATGTAAATCGAGAATCGAAATACTTGCCGGCATTAGAAACTAGAAATCAATGAAAAAAACAAAATTATACATGGGTAATAATAAATGGGCGAAATCGTACTAGCGTGGCTAATCGAGTTTACATTGATTTTTTTTCATTTGATAAACTGAATTAAATTTAATGTTTTCTCATTTTATTTTAATGAACTCAAACACGTATTCCCTACCAATCTATATTGACTCACTCCTTTTAACTTATTTCTGCTACTTCGGCTATCATTTTTATTTTATATTTCATTTTTGTAATTTAAAATTCTTAACATTTAACAGTTGGGCATGATTTCAATTTATTGGATTATCATGATCCATTAACTATTGAGAGTTTTTACATAGATTCTCAAAAAGATATATACAATATGCTAATTCTATATTAAAAATTTGTTTATTTAATTTTTTTATCAATTATTTATAATAATTGCACTAGGTACCTATCGTTTGTACCCATAGTGTATCAGGGTTGTGTGATAATCGAAAAAATTAGTAAGAGGTACAGTGAAAGCATAACAGAGGTACTATAGTGCAGTGCACAATGTTTGTGCAAATAATATTATAGTTGTTAGGGGAAACAGTAGAGTATGTTGACAATAGGCTTGAAGGAAAGGTATTAGGTAGAAATGAAACAGAGTGTAATATGTAAAGTATGATATTGAGCAATAATGACAATTGGGCGGGGAAAAGTTTGACAATGGGTGAAAATGAAGTAGGTGGGGATAGATTTGATTTTTTGATTGCATAGAAATATCGTACTTTGGATTTAATTTTTAATTTATTGTGCCAATACATCATTACAAAAGTTCTAAGTTCTAATACCAAAAACTTGGTATCGCACTCATGCTGTTTTAGTTTTAAATGCTTTGATTCGATTTGAAATTGATTTAACAAGATACTTCTGCTTATACATTTCTTGTATGTTTTTATTTTTATAGTCGATGATTTTCAAAATTATAGGTAGGTACTACCGTTGATTATATAATAGTATACAATTAATGGCAATGGAATGCAGTGCTTGGAAAGTTCCTTTTAGAATTAGTTTACGTTCATCTTATTAAAAAAGAATCAGTTCCTGTTCTCGTTTCTCACAAAGGAAAATTTTTCGTTTCTGAATTAAATCTAACAACAATATATTTTTTAATAAATTGTAACTTATTATTGACGCCAAGAACATCCTAACCTGCAGATATCCTTTATAGAGTATAAATTAATTACTAATTAATACGCGCATAGAATGCAAATAAAAAATGTTTATGTAAATCAAACATTTTTTATTATATCAGTTTATACATATTATGTAAAACTAATAACACTTAAAGAATGTATATTGTGTAAATAACTTATAAAGAAACTATGAATACATTGATAATTATAATGTTAACATACCGTTAAGTTAACCATAGTACAAAATTAATCTGTTAATCATTCATGTTCCTTTAAAAAATGAACAAAATTGTGCATTTCTTTCAATCCTTTTCCCTTCCAAGCACTGCTGATATGGAACAATTACATTTAGTTTATTGTTGACAAAAAAATAAAATAAAAACTAAAATCTATTAAATAAATGTGTAATTAAATAATTATAATTTTATGTGTGTATAATAATAATATTATGTATATATATCATAATATGTAAGTTTGTGTGTGTGTAAATATGTAAACATACCATATATAATATATTATAAAATTTGAGACTAGTACTTTTACAAAAAAAAAAAAAATAAAACAAAAACAAAAAATATTTCTGCTAGGTACCCCACAGATTTTTGTTTAAAATAACGCGTCACTGGACAATGTCTTGGCACACAAGTACAGGAACGTATATATAAATATATGTTGTATAAAAGCACAATATTATTGAAACTGATGACATTTAGAAAAATTGCATGTTGACACATAATTATTTAAAAATTAACATTTTTTAATGCTTTAATTTTCAGTCTATACAAAAAAAAAAAAAAAAAAAAAAAAAAAAAAAATATATATAATAACAATAATAATACCTAATAAAAACAAAAAAAAATAAAAATATAATATTAGGTATAAATTAAATTATGATATATTAAAAAATAAAATAAAATAAAATAAAATAAAATAATTGGGGCATTATAATTATATTATAGATCAAATTTCTACAAAAACATGTTTATCAATATTATAGAATTTTGAATTATCAATTTTATAGTATATTTAAAAGTATTATAATACACATAATATTATAATATTGAATATTATTATTAATTATTAATATCAAATTTTTCCAATGATATAAATTGTCTATTAAATCTAATAATATAATATTAATCCTTATATTTTATAATAAAAGACTGTTGGCCTTAGTGTTTTGGTACTGTGTAACGGTAACGGTTTTTGAAGATCTGTTTGAAATAATTTCTGGTAAACAATATATATAAATATAAAGGAAACATTTCACTGTACAAATAAATGGCACGGACAAAAAAAAGCATTAAAAAAAATGTTTTTTTTTTTTTTTTTGATATATATTTTTCAGGCCTTTGAAATGGAGGTATGTATGGCCCCATGTATGCCGTACAATTTTTTTTTGTAATGTTATAAAAATAATTTTGTTTTTGATATTGAAAGATGAATTTAAAGATACATATATATATATAAAAAAAAAAATAAAAAAAAAAAAATAAAAAATAAAAAATATATATACATGAACACAAGACAGTCACTATTTAAAATATAATATAATATTATTGAGCATCTGCTGTAAAAAAAAGAATGTGAAAAAAAAAACAAACAAAAAAGGTAAAGAAAAGAANTAATTTAAACATTTTTTTTTTTTTTGCATTTTGCTCTAGACGATTTGTCTCATATCAAAACATTAGGTCAACTGGAAAAACACAAAAGAAATGTCAACAATTTAAATATTTTATTATTAATGATGACTCGTATCCTGTCACTATGTGTACTCGATGAAATTGTGTGAACAAAATATTAACGAGATATTTTAAATCAATCCGCTATACATTCTTGATATTATAAATTATAATATATATGTTTTTAATTACCTAATTATGCAAAAATTTACCAAGAATTAATAATTTGAATAAACTTATGAATGAAACCACGACTATTGAAAAAAATAACTAATTGTGTATTTCAATAAACAATTATTTAAAAAAAATATTTGATATTTTTATTTTTATTTTTTAACTTGATAGTAATGAAAAATAGACGTATAAATAATTTTTTTTCTAAAACAAATAACGAAAAGTATAATATTTGAAAAAATAATAACAGATATTAGTTTCCTTGCTCTGATTTGAATTTAAAATAAATTTAAGAATAATAATAATAATAATAAAAAAAAAAATGCTATATATTTTCATTTGGTTAATTTTTGCATAAAAAACAATTTTTATATATATATATAAAAAAATAATAAATAGTTCAATGAAAACTTAAAAAAAAACTATGGCATAAATCAAAAAAACCAATACATATTTTTTAGAAAAAAAAAAAAAAAAACAGGAAGAAGGAACTATATTATTGTTTACATAGATATTGTTGCTTAAGAAATAATTAAATTTATATTATTAATTGTATACTCACTTATAGTAATAATAATTATTAAGCAAAAGGTTATATTTTATAGTTATAAATCGACAGTTACACACCAATGTTCTGGTGTTTTTGTACCGTGCGTAAGAACTGTTTTGCCTGTTCCTCATGTACTGCCTAAGTACAAATATCAAGAGTTTAAAATACAATATTTTCCTTTAATTATTTGTAGAAATAATAACAATACGTACTTTTAAGTTGGAATAATTTGACTTTAAGAACCGGGTATCAGCATTCGAAGAAAGCGAGTCTAATCCTGTTTGGATTTCATTGAGTTGACCTTGTTGTTGGTCCATTTTAGTTTTAAGCAGCAATTGTTTTTTCACCAGTTGTTCACTCTCTTCGGCACCATCCTCTTGTAGCACTTGCATTAACTAAATGTAAATTATTATTATTATTATTATTACTATTAAGTCTATAGTAATTATAATATTTTTAAAACATAAAACGAAAAACTAACCGGATCTTGAGTGATGTTTATTGAATTTCCTTCGTTACATAAATCTATAAACGTTGTCAAATATTAATATTGCACATCATTATATTTAAACTTTAATATTTAAATACCGGTCTCGTAGGAATTATAATTAATTATAACATTATCTGGTGACATAAATAAAGGGTCAACCGATGAGTTGTTATCGTCGAGGGTGTTCTGGAATCATAACATCATTATATATATACAGGTATATTTATGTAAGTAAATGTATACAAATGTTTGTGTAACAAATTTAAGACTGCCATCGTCATTAACAGGAGAAGGCTACGTTTTTGCATTACAGATAGTACAGGTGGACTTAAATATTATTTTTGAATTACGAGGCTAAAAATCAAATAAAGGAAACCACATTAAACTTAATATCGTAGTAGGTTGAAAATAATGTATTATGACAAGTTTAATAAATTGAGTTATGAAATGTTTATATTAAAAAATTATACTCGCAAAAACACTGAGGTAAGAAAAAAGAAACATACCTATGGGATTAAATATTACAAAATATATATTACAACAAATTGATAGATTAATATTTTTCATAGTGTGCAGAAAGCAAATTATATGCATTAAAGTGCAGTAGATACATAATTATGCATCTAAGTGCAGCAAACACACACAGTTAGGTTATTATGTTTTGTAAATTAATGTTTTATAACATGTAAAAAGAAGTTAATAGCGAGGATCATCTAGATCACAATCTGAAGCATTAATAAATTTAAATTTGCTATACCCATAATTATTTTATTGTGCTGTTACCTAACACAATATAAAAAAAAGTAGATTTATTTTGAGTCACAAAAAAAAAAATAAATTGTATTTATATATAATCAAGCAAAACAAAATTGCCTAAAATTTAAGTAAAAGCACCCACAGAGAAAAATTATTAATAATGAAAATAATGGCAATCTTAAAATAATAGTACTGTTTAAGAAAATCTTACCGAAAAATGATCGAGACCTGTTGTTAGAGTCACATTAGTTAAAGGATCTAAGAAATAAAAAAAAATTACTTTTATACATTTTTAAGAATAATGCTATAAACACTATTTTATTTTAAAGGATTGCATACAATTTATATGCATATTAATAATTATTTTATTATTTTTTAATATTAAGTATATTATTACCTAAATTGATATTGTGTTCATTGTGTATGGGGTGTGCATGGTATTTAATGGGATCCCGGAAATGAGATAAATCGTCCATAGAATCATAACTGTCAATGCTAAGCTGACTACTGTCAGACTGTGAACTGGTTTGTGATTCCAGCAGGATTTTAGGTTTTTTTGACCAGTTTCCAAGTGCATCTTGATGGTCGTTATGTCTTTTTGGTCCTACGAGTATACCACCCCTGCGCTCTAGATATTCTTGGTCTTCCTCAGCGTACTTGTCAGTCTGCAGTGCATAAACCACAACGGGCTGTCGAGCTACGGGTGGTGCCACTCGGAGGACTGATGGCCGATCTTGAACAATTGGTTTCACTTGAGTAGTAGGTTTAGCTTGAGTAAAAGGCTTCACTTCAGCAATAACAGGCTTTACCACTTCAGTAACTGATTTGATTGGCACATTTATATTGTTATTATTTGGCTGTGGTGACATGGATGATTTTTTTTCTATTTTAGGTGCGTTGGAAGTCAACACCGGAGGCATAGATTTTGAAAAAAGTTTAACCTTAAAGAATTGACTGTCTGGTAGAGGACCTGGGTTTTGTGACGTTTCTTTTACATTGTCTATTGCCGGTGCCGGTATGTTTTTCGTCATTTGTTCCACGACCTTGTTAATGGTTGAAAGATCTTCAGTGGTGGATCCTTCCAACGATGTTGTGGTATCGGCTTCCATCTAAGACAATGTAAATCATATAATACAAATTGTATCAGGCCACTATTGCATAAGTATACTTACAATCTGATTGTTAGTGATGGCAGTAATTCCGGGCTCTGAACGACTGCGGATTAAAGGAGTAAACCGTTCTCTCATTTTTAGGATTTCTCTTTTGCCTTCTTCGGGGCTGACTAAAACGTTTACACAAATAAATGATGCGACCTGATCTTCGTCCGGATTAAGTTCTAAAAATCCGTAGGTTTTCATGTACACAAATTGCCCATTTTTCGACAACAACCTATAACAACTGCTGCCAAAACTTTGACCTTTGAAATACACTGCAATAAATAAAGTATAACACTTTTAGTAGTACTTGAGTTTTATATTTTCTGGTATTTAATTCATTTTATGTTAATAAAATTTACTTTGTCTCAGAGCAATCATCACCCAGCGGACATCGTCTTTGTGCATGTATGTAAACGCCAATGTTCCAGACACCTCTTGTGGCATAAATCCAGACACTATTGATATTCTATTAAAAAATTAAATTAAATTAAATTTTCAACAAATTAATATTCAAACATGATCTTTGTGTCAAAAAATAAGATTTTCAAAATCTATCATTGTACATTTCAAAAATGTTATTTTAAAAACTAGAAAAAAAGCCAACGACGAAACATCTAAAAAGGTTAAGTTCGTAAACAATTCAATAAATTTTTTTTTACATAAAACAACGTTTTAGATTTTTAAAACAATACACTACTTCTAAAATATGTTAGCCAATGTTTTGAAAATCACCTGTGATCAACGTAGATAATACGGCCGTCGAGTAGATGTCTAGTTATGTATTCTTCTTTGGTGGCTTCCAATAGAGACACTTCGGTAACTCGACGTTCGTTGAACGGTCTGACGACCGCGTGCAACAAAACGGAATTTTCTCCTAACAAAGAAGCTGCAATGATATAAAAAAAAAAAATAACGTTAATTTCCACTAAAATATTCAATAGGTATATTATATATTTTTTTAATAAATTTGTTGCAAAAATATTATGTACTCGTACGTTTTGTTCCGGAATTTGGCAGTATTAACAAACAGCCTGACACGTACACCAGCTCCAGCCCGGGTTGTTCGCCACGCGAAACGGCTTTTTTAACCAACCGCAAATAAAACGATCGGCGTTGAATTTTGATACCGCTATTTTGACCTCCCAGTTTGGCGCTCAGCGAAGGATCGTCATTAGTAACTGGAATATAATATTCGAATCAGGATTATAAAACAAATCAGTGAAAGAGATTGAAACATTTTTCTTATGGAGAGGGGGGGGGGGGTGTGGTAAAAATATAGATGGTAAAACTATCTATAGCTACATACTTTATATTTCCTTAAACCCATCTTTCCCTCTCATGATATGCATGTAGGAGAAGGGCTCACTTTCACGATTTGTTTTTTACCACCAGTGTTTGAAATGGATAATTTATTGAACCATAAAACATAATTTTTTTAAATTCCCTATAATATATATGTACATATAGTATGTTTGTATGATTTGTGGACACCAATGATAAACTTTTTTCTTTGAGAAAATGTGAACCAGAATTGCATTGCTGTTCATTTGAAACCCTAAATTAAGCACATCATTTCGGTTAAAAACATAACTTAAGAGTAACCAAACTTAAAACCAAAATTTAATTAAATTTCTGTATACATATATATATATAGTGTTGCCAATTTGCCATAGATTATTAAGTATCGAATTATAATACGTGATTTATGTAGTGAATAGCGACAATGTCACAGAATTATAATCAATTTTGACTGGTTTTGTCAAAACGATAATATCAGTTATATTTTAAAATAACTAAATAGTATAATATACTTGTATTTGATATTTTAATATTAAATATTTGTTTACATTATTCCTAAAGTTATATTTATATTTTATTGGGCGGGAATAATAGGTTAGCCTCCCTGTGCTTTGATCAGTTGTCCTCTGCTCTGGCGCAGTATAATAATAGGTAATAAAACTAAATTATAATTTTTATTTTTTATACAATTCGCGATAAAAAGTATTGTCGCGAAAATAAAACTTGAAGAAAATGAAATAAAGGAATAAAAGGTTTCTGGGTTATTTTTGGTACAAAAATTAAATTATTTTTGTTGAATTGTGGAATACCATAGAAACATGGATGAAATGAAAAAAAAACTTAAAACAAAAAAATAAAAATAACAACTTAAAATAAGATGGGCTACCTTGGTAACATGGATGAAAAAAAAACAAACAAAAATCTATGCGTTTTACAGGGTGTGTATGTGAAAAGTGATAAATTTTGGAATTGTTCGGAAAGTGAAATTTTCGGTACAACAACAACACAACAGTACTATTATGTTTTCATAATAATGTGGAAATTCTCCCCCGGTTGGAACCACTGCTCTAGACAATTAAAGGAGTACAAAAAAAAAACCCGCCTCAAAATAATAATAATAATTAAATACCAATAAGTACAAATTAGTTAATAAACTATTATTAACTCACTGGTACTACTGCCGGATTCATCCAATTCTTCGTCACACTTAAGATTCTTCTTGAGTTCGTCGCGGTCAATCGGACAGATAATATTGTACAACGAATGTCCAAAGAGATCGTTCTGTAATAGAAAAATAAAGAAAAAAAAAAAAAAATGGTTTAATGTCTAAAACTATGAGGGAATAAAACTTTTCTTTTCTTTTTTTACATCATAGCATATTATACCTTTACACCTACCTAAGTTAGTATTTTTTGGTTAAATATATTATATGATAAATAAAAACAAACACGTGGACGATATTTTAACGAAGCGATATTTTATTATTTTTCCATAGAATGCCCCCCGTGGACAATCACAAATTTGCTGCTATACATTCAACTTTACCACGGGCATGAACTCCACAATATCGTTAGTCCTTCGATCCCAATACAATATTATCCCGGTATACGTTATTATTATTATTATAATACAGAAATCATTATAGGTCGGGTACTGTGAAAAACATAATAACATTCTAATTTATTCGTTTTTTTTTATTTTTTTTTTTTTTATTTACGCGAGCAAATAATAAATTATTATGTATTCTATCGTTTCGTCGTAAATTTATTTTGTTCACGAATAAATTCAAACGTCAGACGAAAATCCCAGATGAATATGATTTCAACAATACCTACCTGAATTATTATTTCATCCAATTTGTTATCCGCCTGCACTTCATATTATATTGTTTTCCAATTATTTCGCACGAAAACCGGATAAATAATAAAAAAAATTTAATGTGAACAATTTTGACCAATATAAATAGTGAAGGCGGGAAAATCGGCCTCTAACGGATTTTATAGACGAGAACTCAACACCGAAAATCGTGCCGAATACAAAAATATGTTAACACAAACAATTATCCTTATTAATTTTCTAAATTTCTTGATAAGCCAATGCATTTAAATGTGGTGTCTTAGACAATAAATACTTTCCTTTTTTTCGAAATTTAGTTTTAATTGGAATAAGCATACAGCCACCATTTGTATACGTTGAATGAAAATAATTTTTGAAACCAACATTTTTGGTATCATATCCAGCGGATGATGATTTTATTTATCTATATAATAAAGGTATTATATGGATGAAGAAAATAGAGGGGGGTTGGAAACGGGTTTTCTCAAATTCTTTTCAATTTTGTAAAATTTGAAAATTATAGTTTGCCTATAAATTATCATAATGATAAGAGTTCTTCACTAATCGACTCCCTGATATAAGGTTTAGGGATAAGAGTATGAGAGGTACGGCCGTTTTCGATCAATAAAAAACAGGAATAATAACTCAACCAATTTAAATTTTTTGATTTTTTTTTATCTATGTTTTTTCGGAATCATTAAATGTTTAATTTGTTTTCAACAAATTTTGTTGGTAGAGGTACGTGATGAATTAAATTTTTTTTTTTTAATAAAAAATTCGTAAATAAAATAAGTGTCGTGAGAAAAAAAATGTTTTTCTAAAACACATAGATAAGAAATATAGGAAGTCAAATCATTTTTCAAAACAGAATTTGACTAACGAAATTATGTCTATTTTATAGCTTATTGGTGTAAATGTATGAAAAAACGAATCGTTTTCAACAGTCTTTACATAATATCCCAAAGTTCGCTTCACTAATCCTTTTTCAGCCCATAAATTAGAACGTAACATAATTTTTAACCCAAAATAAATAAGATATTAAAAGATAAAACTAAAATTGGTTCAAGAGCCCATGTAATAATTATTTAAGAATTCTATTACGCCTTAAAAGCACTTTCAATAGACAATCGCTTAACATTAAAATAGTTCTATTTTTTTATTAGTAGAATTTCAACAATTTCCATGAGGACGGTTAAAAGGAGAAGGAAATTCGAAAAATATGCTGTTCAAATTTACCAAGTACCTTATAGGGAATATATTTTTGATTTGTCGTATTTATAATAGACGCGATCGAAAAATAAACGTACATACTTTGCACAATAGGTGGGCCACTATTATAGAAGAAAATTTGGGAAGGTAAAGGGAAATTTAATATACATCTGTACACAACGATTAATCTTTGCTAATTATAAACGATTCTGAGAGGTGTTCGATTGTACATGTTTTGAAAGGCCGTAATATTTACGATTTAAAAATAATAAATTTCGTACATATTCTCGTTTCCCTACGTTTATTCCTATTTATTATGAAAATCTCTGAGAAAATTAAAAAATTACCTATTTAAAGTACCGCTCTAGTCAAATTTCCTTTCAGAAAAGAAGCTATACTTGAAAATCGGAGCAAAATTTTTAGAAAATTTGTAAACAGAAAAATATTTTAAACATCATTGTAAAACCAATATATTTCTCGCTCCGCTTCCAATCGAACCATTTAACACGTAAATTTAAAATAAATACATTATACTCTTAAAAAATAGCACACACACACACACACACACACACACACACACACACACACACACACACACACAATATATTTTGTTATAAACCAATGACTGGGTTCCTTATAGTTAAAATTAAGAGCATCAGAAAATAAAAATTTAGGACGGAATGCCATAATTGTTCATTAATAACAATAAACCGCGAGGACCGTCTCAAATCGCCAGTTCCAGGGCCAACGATTCGAACGTTTCAGAATAATAATTATATTGTTTTTTTATTTGTTATTATTATTATTTTGAACGCAACACATCTGTGAATGTACCGACCGCTACTATACCCTCTAAAAATTTGTTTATTAGTATTATTGCAGTAAATATAATATTATTATCAGCTATTAGTTGGGCAGCTGTTTATTAGCCTATAAACGGGTCTTTATAATGATTTTTTTTTAAAGACTTTCAAACAATTTCAAACTATACTATCACTGTATTGATTATTATGCACAGTCATTATCACAATTTTTGTCAAATTTTCCCCAACTGAAGATACACATCTGTATAGTACTGCAGAATAGTTACATATTATTTTTTTTATAGCGGCTTCATAAATGGACCAAATGTGATCCCTAACTCCCGGAATCAGAATTTTTTTTTTATAGTCGGATTGAATGACTGATTAAAAAAAGTCGTGTTGAATTTCACTGTGTTGTTGCGGGAAGAGGATGTCTTTTTATAGTTTTGAACCATCCCTACAGACCCTCCGGTTGAAAACGGTTTAGTAAAATATTGTATAATACGTGACATTATAATAGCATCAAATAAGTACATTTTAGGGATTTCAAATTTCAACCTCCAGCCCTACTATTTTGTGTGCTTGACTTTCACCATTTTGTTTTTGGAACTAGGTAGTATGTTATAGTTGTACTATGGTGTAGAAATACATTACCTATATTTTAGTATTCGGTTATTTAATGTTTTACTAAAAATATTTATATAATAAAAAATAGGTGGGGGAAAATTCGACTTTAATGACGGAGATTATTAGCCTTATGTAAGGCGTTTATTTCCACTGCAGCCGAGGTAATTCACAAATCAACAAAAATAAAAACGAGGACGAATTTGTTATTTGAAGTCAATTATTATTTGTATTATTTTATTTTTTAGAAAAATCCGCATCTTTAAAAAAGCAATGATAATAGTATTGAAAATGTATAGGTATAATAGTGAGATGATGACAGTGTCTAACGTTTTGATATTGATCACCTTGTATTTTATAAAATTAGTAGACCAACCCACACGCGATCGATCGCTGCGGCACAGCAAATGCAAAAGTATATTGAATCCGATCGAGTTTACTAACGAGAAAACAAAAGGTTTGACGTACACGGCGCGTGAAATGGTGAAAATAATAACGATGCGGGGAAAAAGCGCGGTTTTTTTTTTTTACGTACGTATAAGTAGCGATCGAGTTACAATACGAGGTCGATAAAAAAAAAAAAATCCCCGAAAAATTACGGTACAACATATTATTATTTTATCATAATATTATTAATATTTACACGATGCTCGCTGCAGGCCAAGCGGTTGCATAGGAAAAAAAAAATAAATAGTGGGAAATAACGATTGAGGGTCGACCTTGATTCGCGGCTAGCTGCAGAAGACGTAATAATAATAATATTATCGCTGCGAAAATGCATTAAACAGCTGATGTTTTCGTTGCAGCGTTGTCGAAACGCGCGCGCAATAATAATAGACTTAGGCGACGGCGTCCGTACGCGATATGAGAATCAGCGCCACAGCCGAACACGACGTTCTCATTGGTTATCATTGTCATTACAACATAATCGCGCTTCTCGCATAACATTCTTATCATAATCGAAATTGTATTAATTCATTTACAAAATATCACCTATCACCAATGCGAGAGGGGGCACAGATGTATATATGCATTGGTAATAAACTAGATCGCTGATTAGTGATAAGACGTGAAGTTGTCTTGTGCTCCGTTTTGATATTGTGATGATTGTTACGTTTGCGTGATATTTTTAACAATCGGGGTCTTGGTCGTCGAGGTAACAATAATGAAAAGATTCAACAGTTATCACAATATAACGCATATTATGATAAGGCCTACGGAGCTAGAATTAAATGCCTGCCGTCCGCTTCAAGCATCATTAAGCATTATTATATGGACAGTATTTAGCAGTTAGCTATCTAGTATATTATCTAGATCTGTGGCAGGGGAGGGACTTTATGACTCCCTTCAATCCACCACCGCATACGTCTAAATATATCATACAAAGCCTTTTTCTCGAGGTTATTATTTTGCTAAGTACATTATAATTATTGTGCAGTACAATCATTATTTGTACTCGGTTGCGAGTTAAAATATCAGTGCGAAGATTATCGTAAAGAGAGAAATGTATTAGTTTTAATGCTGTATTTATGTGTTCTGTCTATTAACGACTTTTCTATCGAAATCAAGGGTGGTTTTTGGTAGCGAATTTCGTATAAGTTGGTGAACTGGACTGTAGACTTTTTTTGATTTTCTAACTAGTTTCCATACAATTGTGGAAAACCGGACACATTTACGACAATATAATTTATTTTTCTACCAAAAAATGACGATCAAAATATCAAAAGTAACAGCTTTTCTGAAAAAATTATTGTCCAGTAGATCTTAAGAAAGTTGTTTTTTTGATTTTCCATGGAGTTTCTTAATAACCTACAAGAAAATATTAACAAATTCATTATGATTTTGTTTTTATTGCAGCTCGATTAAAAATAATCATAGGGACCAAACATTTTATATTAGCCTTTTCTAAACGCGGTAAAACATTGTGGTTTTCTGACGACTTTTGAACTATTTACAAGGATTTGATATTTTCGAGGTTATTTTTTTTTATATTTTTAAACGATCAATGGGGTAGCGAGTGCTGGAGCTCTATAATCCCTTCCCCTGGGCACGTAAACGGCGTGGCGTGTTTATTATAACCGAATAAAATATTGATGGTGATGTCTGTCTAATAATATTATCTTTCAAGGATAATATATAGATAGAAAAAAAAAACAAAAAAGGTCGAACGGATGCAATATTTATAATAATATACAGGTTTATCGTCCGACATGCTCGGCGACGATAATATAAGAACGGTGTCCTTGGCGAGTGCATACGAAGGTGGGAGGAAAGGAGATTCTCGGAGGGAGGGGAAATCAATATAGTGTATTATATATTGCATTGCGTCTTTATATTATACACGTATACAAAAAATAAAAAAATAAATAAATTTAATAAAATCATCGAATGGTATTCGACGTTCGCATTTAAAGTTAACCAGTAACTTAGGCAAACGCATGACTCGTAAGTCGGTAAATCAAAGCTAATTTTTTTCTTTTCGATAATGTTGTTTTGGCAGCATTGGTGTAATTTTACTCTCGAATTTTCACCATGCGCAATTTATACTGCAAATTATATGATAAACGACTTTTTTTTTTTTTTTATTTGTAAGTACGTAATTTTACGTGCGATTATAATCGTAAAAACGACACCGGATACAGTGCATTTTATGTATTATATGACCCGCGGTGGCAAGTGGATACACAATAAATTGCCAATATAAATCCTACGACAAAATATGCGTTTAGCAGCGAACAATAACTGCAACTATAAATTAAAACATAAAACATATATTTGAATTCGATTAACCGATATTCGTGTTTGAAATCGTTATTATAATCGGATATATATATAAATACTGTGATTCGAATGCATTAAAACAAAATTTACTATCTCAAAAACACAGCTCATAAAAACCCAAAAATCAACCCCTATCTTAATGATGGATCTCGTTGATTACAATATCACCACCGCGCATATCGCAGGTATATATGTACGCAACGGTAAATGAGAGCTAACGAAACAAGTACACAATTATAATTAGTACAATTTATGATGAAACCCGTGACAAATTTTCGAAGATGTTTACTGAATTAAAAAAAAAAAAAAACAAAATCGAACGGATACCGTTATTGTGTAAATATTTACGTTTTTGACAATTATTAAGAAACGTACAAGGAAAATTAAACGAAATTAGCTTTCCAATGCACCAACTAACTAAAATTTGCTACCAAAGTCCAATCTAAACCTTATCAAAATAGAAGGGTTTAAAACTGAGTTCGTAGTTATATTAATTTAGAAATTTATTAAATAATGAAAATAATGGAAATTGTTCAGATTATACTATTCGATTACATTTGCAAACTATATTAATTGTGATATAAACTAAATTCAAAACGTACATAGAGTAATCGTACAAGGTTAAATACGATAGATATTCTGTGAATAAATAATAAACAATTATTATAGTTATAGCAATACCGCGGTACAACACAAAAAAAAAAAAAAAACGGCTAAGCATTTCTTTTAAATTCTGCGCGTAGCGATAAACGTATTGGTTTTATTTTCTATCCGTTAATAACTTGTCTATAATCTGTTAGGAATTTTTTCAAATAAATTATCCACCACTGATCACCTGGTGTATCTTTTAAGCTAACATAATTTGGATCATTTTGTATTAACTTAAGAAGTGTTTTGCGAGAAAACCCTCCGAGAAAAGACTTGGCGATGTATTTTTCCATATTTAAAAAAGTGTTCCAAGGACCAACGAACGGAAATACAACATTTTTTAAGATAATGTGTAAAAATCGGAATATTTCTCTCATAACAAAAATCACTTTTAAAAGTGTTGGGAATTTCGGAAAATGTTTCAAATAAAATAACATCAGACGGGAAATTTGTAACTTCTAAGATACGGCACGAAAAAATGTTTCCCGAGAAAAAAACGCATCTTAGCAAAACTGATTTGCTACACTTAAAGTATAATATAATATATATATTACTTAAAACAAATTTCATTTTTTCATCTTTTTTGGTAACACAAACGCGTTTAAAAATTAAAACAGTCCAAAGTAAAACCGATGAATATAAAATCATTTACCTTGATTCAATAAGTGATTATTTTACTGTTTAATATAAGTTTTCAGTTACACGATTTTTTAATGAACGAACTACAAAGCGATGAACCTTGTTCCATAGGAGTTGTTACCATAAGAGGTTGTCGGATATACTTATATTTTAAATTGTATTTTCGGTTAGGTATCATTCGATCATGATTGTTATCATGTTATTTTTTAGTTTTGATTAAAAAAAATATCATAAAACTCACCTGGGTATGGCCCAGTAAACTTTCAACAGCTTCTGATACGTACACTATTTTCCCGGTGGACGTGATCATAAGGTACATGTCTCTTTCCTGAAAATAACAACAAAATGGTTAAATTTGTTTAAAGTCATAATATAACGTGGATAAATTGACACAGTATAACGGTAAACCGTAATACGCACACAAAATCGGATCGAAAAGCGAAAACGTTTATCGTCATAAAATAGAATCGATTATAAGCCTAATATACAGTAGTATTATATTTTTGTAAAATGATAAAAAAAAAAATGAAAATTTTTTTTCGATTTGCCGATGATTGCCATGGTTAATAAAAATAACTTGCACTTGGACGAATATGATATTGTATTAGTTATTCTTATTTGAACACCTTTATAGATTTTCTTTCGGTAAAATAAAAACCATGACGTTTTAAACAAATTAATTTTCATGCATATTATGTGAATAACGTCAAAAATATTATGTAAAAAGAAAAAAAGAAAACCATTCAAACATTGCAATTTGCAAGGAATAGAAATGTTTTGAGATTCCCAGGATGTGTGGTAAATTTTTATACTTAAAAAAGTTTTCAAAATAAAAACAAATTAATTATGATGAAACCGGATATATTGAGATTGTAGACTAATTAAGTAGAGAAGTGGGTCCACTCTCCTCCATTATCCAAGTTCAGTAAAATAATTAGCTGCAACAGATTAGGACGGAAACTGCATAGTAGTTATTCTGTACTAGGAGCAAAAAAAAAAAAAAAAAACCGCACAGTCTACTAGAACGACTTAAATCGTTAAAATTATTGTGGATTTTTTTTATTTTCATACAACGAAATGTTTATTGGTTTTGACAAATACATTTTACGGGCAAATATCCCGGATAACTTCTTTTGAATTCTTTTAACTTCTGTGATATGAAATACAACCTTAAAAAAAGAAAAAGAAAAGAAGTATCAATTATTAAAATTTATTTTCGGTAAGAATTATATGCCAACGAATTGAAGACTATGGACCGTGATAGATAAATCATTTATCAGATTATGGAATTTTCTATTTCAAATGTAACCTATACCCGACGAGGCGAAAGTCACTTTCGCCTTTTACCTTATCTTTATTTACACCCGACGTGTTTTTTCAACCGTTATAGGTTTTAGAATTGAACTTCAGGAGATTAACTTCTTTGGAGTATTATACTAGATTTGGAGTTTGAACGTGATTTGTATGTTCCGAACTTTGTATACCTGGATTTTCCGGCCGTTTTATTTTTATGTTTATCACCCGGAGGAAGTGGGTGTATCCCAAATTTTATTCGAGAATGCAACATAAAATTCGTTTAGTGCGAAATGATGCGATGGATACATTAGGTAGGAATTTTGGGGGTGGGGATGCTAGAATAATTTATGGTAGTGTATGATAGTGTGTTACGTTATTTGTATCACTCTGTATAATACCGAATAGATTATAATGTTGAATACATACGCTTAAAAATATTCGGGCCAAATTGATATTTCTTAATGGTAAGGGTAGTTCTTGTTGTTGTTCTCCGAGTCCCAGTAATACTGAAAAAAAAAAAAAAACATAAATAATAACAACAATCACATCAATCAAAAATCAAAACTGATAGATTATATATATACAAAAATAAAACCAAAAAAAAAAACACGATCCGATGTTCGACACACTTACTTTGACTCAGTCGGAGATACGCGGCGCTCAGTCTGAGGACGGCAGTTTTTTCCATTTTTTTCGGGGAATTGGATATGAATGGTACTAGCTGCGAAAGTTGGGTGATACACGCGTTTAACTTTTGCCGCCTTTTTTGTTCCATCATATTTCGTAATTCTCTACTAGTACTGTAAACAATAAAGAAAAAAAAAAAACCACGTTTTAAATTAAAATCCGGAATTAGGTTACAAAAAGTCAACGCAATAAAGTGCTGTACTATATTATTTTTTGAAATACGTCGTTGCGTAATTTTCATTGTCTGCAACACACTGGGGTTTATATTGTATCGGTATATTTTTCCATCTACAACAGCAAATGCAACGATATGCGACTTTTATACTATGTGCACTTATAACGTCAATGTGAAAGCTATTCGTAAAATGCACGTGAACCCTTGTGCACATATGCGCGCGGAGGGTGCAGTAATAACAACAGACTACGCATTTCGTCAAAATACATTCAAAAGCGTACGAAAGCGTATGTCAAAATGTACGTTCCACGTTGTTCGGATTTTCAAATGCGAAAGGGAAAACTGGGCGTTTAATTGAAATACACCGCATATATTATCATTACAGTAGAAACTCCATAAATCGACGGGATGAGACAATACAATATAATTTTATATTGTATTATATTATTCAATGTTTTTTTCGAATTCGGAATATCCTGATCTGAGCGACAATTTCGACTCGAAAACGGGGGTTATTTTTTTATTTTAACCTTTTTTGCAATCTAATAGTTTCGAATCAAAAATAATTGATAACTATCCATCGTGTAGTTCGATTTATCGAAAGTATAACGTTGAAAGTGGGTATAGATTTTGTTAAAAAAAAAAAAAGGTTGGAAAACGCGGGAAAAATTAAATTAAAAAAAATTAACGACTATTACGACTCAATAAAATATCTGGGCATCGAGAGATCAAATCACATAAACAGATATGGTTTCGTCAGAGGTGAAAATCTGCAAATATAAACTCGGATGACATGATATACGAAAATTCAATTGTTATTGTTATGAATATAATTGACAAAGGCAATTGACTAGGGCTACAGACGAATGAGATGGTGGTGGGAGGGGGTAAGGAGAGGAGCGCAGTGAGCAGCAAATATATAAATTTACACCTGCAAATCGTTCTGATGTGTATATACGTTTGTATATGTTGGGCAAAACGAAATATGAATAATAAAAAAATCAAAGTAATTATAATAAAAAGTATATACGACATAATACGAGTTTGGCAGTGAATCGCATTTGCAACGGCCTTGGAATGTATACTATAGGAGTTTTTTCACCGGGGGGCACCATCACTGCATCGACCGCTATCTGTTTTTCTACTATAGTATAGTCGATTTCTATTTTTGCCAAAGTTTTTTTTTTTTGCCACGCCATCGCACGCGCGTTGCATCATATTATTTGTCCCCACTTTCCATCGCCGCGACCGTATTATATTATATTCTATAATCCCACAGATTTTATACTTAACGCTACGCTACTCCCTACGCTTTTTACGTGGTACGTGGAAATGCATACGATACTATAATAACTATAATAATAATAATAATAATAATAAAAAAAAAAATATTACATTAAAAATCGATGATGAATTTACAGCTAAAATATGTTTTTCGGAAATTCTAGAAAAAAACCCTTCCAGATATAACAGTAATTCGCCACAAATAATTTTTGTTGACCACGTTAGAGATAGACGCAGTGAGGCTGTTGTTCACGAAACACTGTTGTTTATAACATATTCGACATAGTAAAATGTTTTTAATATTGTAGTAGGTAAGACTAGGAGAAATGCTTGACAATCTTAGTTTCAAAATTTATTTTTTCTTTAGTTTCTGAGCGGAACGAGGTCGTTTTTTGATTTTTCCAGGGGCTTTTATAATAAAAGGGAAAAATTTACGAATTCTATTAATTTCTTTTCAAAATCATGAATACGGCCTTTTAAAACATGTAAAACCGAACTCTGCTCAGAATCGTTTTTCGTAAATAATTATTATATACAGATATGCATTAAATTCGCCCCTCCACTTTCCCAACTTTTCACCTACAATAATGGTCCATCTATCGTGCGAAGTATGTCCGTTTAATTTTGTGATTACCTAATTGGTAATTCGGTATCAACACTATAGCAACTGCATTTCATATTGTGATAAAATTATACAGTTTAACTTGTTTAGCGATTGAATCTCGTCATCTCACATATGTTGTGATTCCATATATTAATTTATCTATACTCTCGTTAATGTTGTTGTACTGTGTTATGCATGTCATACGAATAAATAAATAAAACTCCATATATTAAATATAACGCTAAAAGTAAGTGGTGATAGCATAATAGTGAATATTTTGAATAATATAATATCCTAAATAACTCAAATCCAGTAAAATATGGTATGACAAAACGCAAAATCGTTTTAAAATTATACGCACGGTTTTAATCAAGGTACACCCGGTACATACACATATATGAGGCAATGAAGTGTTCCGTAAGCGAATGAATGGCAAATCAATTTCAAACATATAATATAGAAATGGCTTTATTTTAATAACGTTTCGCGCAAATAAAACATATAGGAAATACGAAGAAAACCAGAATGCTTCGAATATCAAGTTTCAAATTTAAATATCGGTCAATACAACGGTACACAATATTACCTATGTTATTTGAAATGACGAATAAAGTTTGTTTCTTTCTGTTTCTGATAGCTCGTTTTTTGATTTTCACGATTTAACTTCACCACTTAACTGCGGTGTACGTTCAAAAATATTTTTAAAATTTTAATGTTTTACGTTTTAGATTCTCCTACTGTATTTGGTATACATAACCGTTAAAAACTAATTACAGGTTTTAAACAGAGTCCGCGTAGAGTTGCAGATGAATATTTTACGTTTTAAATGTAAAAATTTACAGGTACCTATATGCCTGCCTAGCTATCTGACCTTAAAACACACGTAAATCCTAATGAACGGGGTAAATCACACGATAAGAACAGTTGTCACCTACATGTATAAAAAGTTGTGATTTTTTTTCCTTTGCACAAACAAATCCGAGAGGAAAACAAATTATACTGTATAACAACCTGCAGCGCGCATCCAACCCTGAATTATAATATCATTATAAATAATACACGTACATGCTCTTGAAAAAAAAAAAAAAATAGAATTTATTGCACATTCCGAGATAATTAACGTTGTTCGGTTAAACTGTAGTTTAAAGTTTTTTGTTTCGAGTATTTGCACGTACACGAGTGGGACTATAATATGAGCATCTATCAGCTGTAATTATTACTGGAAACGGGAGAGATCATTGCAATTCTGCAGTTTTAACGAGCCGATAAGACAAAATTAAATTTCTGCAGTAAAAATGAACACGAGAGGGGAAAATCGCTGTAAAATCAGCATACCACCGGTTGACTTTCATCGCGCAAATATAGCATAACTGGTTGTTCAGTCAAAAACCATTTGCGCGGATTGGCATCATGTGAAACTTTGCTCAATCACATAGACGAAGCATTTTACAAGTGTGGATCACGCACGACAATGTTCAGTTATAAATTGTAGGTCACATGAATAAGGATATATTGGAAACAGTGCTTATATATACGTATTGTCCTTAAACGGATGAATGGGGAAAAAAATAGCAAATTTATACTCTTATGTCTGGTAAAAGCGATGTCGTGGAGATTTCCGGGTCAACGGTATTCGCGTGTAAAAAGAAATTAACAACTACACCGGACGATTCTTTCATCACGATCCACCGATTTTCTTGGACGACTTTAAGTGAATTTGATTTCTGTTTTTGAATTGTATACCATTACTTCTTACACCTATCTAAAATGATGAGTATACACTTTTGATAATTAAAGAGCAACCTCCCCCCTTTTTGAACACATATTAAAAAAAAAGATATTTTTCTTAACATGTTTATAGGTATGTGTACTATTATTACCGTATAGAATTACCGTTTATTAGTTATAACGGTTTAAAATTTAGTCCGGAGTAGTAGATAACATTAGAAGATACACATTAGAAGTGATAACCTTCACTTATTCCTTAGGTCTAAATTTGAAAATCCCAACTCATTTAACGTAAAAGAAGAAGGCGTAAATATTTTGGAAATAGTGTTAAAATAAAGCTTTAAGGATTCCATATTATATGTATAAAACAAAAATTAAATTCACTTAAAATCCTCTGATTTGAAGTCTTTGCTAATGTGAATCATTTTATTTGCATTCATTTAGATATTTATGAAAAATTATATGATATTAGCTTATGAAAAACAAAAAAACCATTTAGTAATTTTTGACTATTAATTAAATATTATAATAGATTATACAGGGAAAAATAATATTCAGTTTTTCAGTAAGTTCAAATAATTGTTGAAATTACATGACCATTGATCATACTAAACTAAACGTTTTAACCACCAAAATGTTTCTAAAAATCTCTTTTACGAGTATATAATGGTTATTTTAATTTTTTTTAAAGTATGAAAAAATTAAAATCGTTTTATGCAAGTTAAGTTTTCTCGTCTACTAACAAATTTAAATATTGTATAGCACAAAATTTTTTTTAGGTGTCAGATCTTCGTGTTACACTCTGTATATACTGATTATATTGTAAATAATGTTGCATACGATACAAATTTTAGGTATGAATTGAGGTTAAATTAAGTATTGAAGTAAAATTAATTTCAGTTCTTATTGCACATTATATTATTGTAACGAAAATATTTAAAAGTTTGACACTGGACATTTTTTAACCGCAATGAATTATTTCATATTTCGAACTAAACCCGATTAGTCCAAACGCGAAATCAAATACAATTTATAACGCAAAATGCAATTAAATATACGACTGTCGGAATACCGAAATAATAATATTACAATATACATTTAATCTGTTTCAGGGTCGGCTAGGTAGAATTCTATTATATTGTATTGGAGTAAAATCGATTTCAAAAAAAAAAAAAAAGAAGTCACCATATGTTTACAGAATACTACCAGTGGCGATATGAAAATTCTGTTTAATCGATATTATCAATGATAACAATTTGTGGGTTAACTGTGGAGAATTGCAATATTGATTTCGGAAGAAAATGAATTTATAACGCGTTATGAGAGAGACGGGACAAATATTATGAAATTATTATTATTATTATTATTATTATTTTTATTTATACAGAATTAATAATTACTAAAGAAAAAACAAGTGTAAGTAATACGTCTACATAATGATATTATTAAAAAAACAAACACAAATAATAATATATCATGTTCAATTGTTCTATTTGAATTGGGACTGCGCAGCGGTGTAAACATGAAATGTATTTAGTTCACCAATACAATTATTGATCAATATAATCATCGTAAACTTTATATTATTTACATGAGATCGAACAGAAAACGATCGCGAAACATAACATAGCACTACGTATAATACACGGCAAAGTTCAACAATATTATACTGTTTATACAATGAATGCAGGTACCTACACAGCTATACAATTAAATTATTATAATAACTGTACAGAACTGTTATGCGTTACTATTTCCTACGCATGAAAAATATTAAACTGGTTCTATCTGCTCATTATCCGAAGTAATGTTAAGCCGAACGACCTCAGTCTTGTTGCACACCATGACTTTTGTTTTCCTTTCGTTTAGTTTATTACATTTAAAAACCGATTTCGTTTGTTAGGTTACTTATGATAATTATTTTAGTCGCGCCCAATACAAGCCATAGCTATAGTAAGTTTTTACCCGTTATTTAATGAAACAAACCAAAGAATTTAGTTTGAAAACCAGAAACCCTCGTGATATTTTTTGTTTTTTGATCGGGACAAGTATCTGAGAACCAAACATGTCAGAGATAAAATCGAAAACAATTTTGTAAAATAATATAAATTTTATATTTATCCGATGAAAATTATCGATGAATATAATTATTTTATTTATTTATTTAATAGTTCAACATCCACAAGGGGTAAAGATACTGCAGGATGTTGTACGTGCAACTATATAGTTTCTAGAATGACAAAAAAAAACGAATCGTGGTTGTATTGCTGCAGAACATTCGAGATGATAAAATCAATTTCGGTATTATCATCAAAATAGCGTACGTACAATATTTAAATGAAACATTGATCGCAGTTAGAATAGTACACAACATTGTTGTGTGTTCTATATCAGTGTTTCCCAACATTGTTGACATTATATACGGACCACTCGGAGAACTTCCGACGGGTCGCGGATATTTTTGATTGTTTTGTTAATCGGCGAACAACAACCGCTTAATAACACTGAATACCAGCTGATCTATTTAACAGATAAATGGCACTTATCGGTCGACGGACGTCACCACTGATATCAGCCGTGATGAAGTCGTGTAACGGTGGAAACAAATTGACCACTGAACTTTTTTCGAATAAATATCTCGGCGTCCCCACGGATCATTTTTGATCACCGGTTGGGAACCACTGTTCTATATAGAATGTACTTACAAAATGTGTATTTTTTATTTGCGTTTTTGTGGCGTGCGTAATGCAGAATTTCTCTATTTTTTTTTTCAACTATATATTTATTCATATTATTATTATTATTATTATTTAATCTTTTGCATAAAACATCACATATCATAGTACACACGCTTGTGAACTTCAAAGGGGACACATATATTGTTCGTAATAATAGTTATATAGGTATAACGCGACTATATATACATATATAATAATATATCGATTGCAATCTGAATATATTATTATTTACGGTGTTAGAAAATATTATTTGTATTTAAACTTTACTCTTATCCGGCTGCCGTTCCATTATATTTGTATATTTTACCCGCGCGATATCTGAAAGTTACGACGACGACGAGATTTCGGCCGAGATTAAATAATAATAATACAAATAATATAGAAAAATACGCATAGTATAAAGAGTAAAAAATAGCGAAATGAATAATAATAATAAGAATAAAAAAAAAAAAATACAAATTTCACGAACAATTATTGCTCCTACGATGTTTGGTTAAATTCTTTTAGATTCTAAGTGGAACGAGGAATGTATTGGTTTAACAATGTTTATTTTTTTTGTGTGAACACTTTTTCTACCAGAAATCATACTCATAATCAAGTATAGCATCTTTTCTGAAAAAAAATTTTTTTCCAGGCGGTACTTTATAGAGGTCGTTTTTTTGAAATTTTCATTAATATTCGAGATAATGAGGAAAACCTCGGTCTTTAGGTTAAAAAAATTTGAAAGATGAAAAATAAGGTTGTCATTGGCAGCCGTTTTTATTTAGTTTTGAGTTTTTATTATTTTAATCTTTTTTAAACAAACATTGTTGTCATGAAAACGCACATTTAACCATAATATGTCATATATATTGTATTGTTGACAAAGCAACATTATCAACTGAACTCCGCTCAAAATTGTTTTTTCGTTAGCAATGGTTTATCGTTGCTTACAGATGTACAGTAAATTTCCTTCTGTAGCCTACCTTCCTAACTTCTCACCTACAACAGTGGCTGCACCTACGCGCCAAGTATGCCCGCCATTTTTGAAAACTCATTTCCAAAAAAAAAAAAAGAAAAAAAAAAAATTATATCGCGTAATCTCCATGGATTTGGCACTACAACAGTTTCTCGTCCGGCGGTTGTAAAAATCCAATAAACCGTACCGAGTATCGCGCGCGTCTTCAAAATTTCACGTTACGATCAATTTCACCGTGAAAAACCTTTATTTTTTTCTCTCTCAAAACATGAAAAACGTGAAAACTTTTTAGAAATATATATATTTAGATTATTATTATAGAGTTATACATATTTTAAAACGTTATGTTGTCTTTTTTTTCACTCTTAGGTATGTTTGGGGTTTGGAGGTGTTTAACCACAACCACACTTTGACTTACAAATAGCTACCTATGTTGTAACGCAAAAGGGGTAACTCTACTTCCCAAAGTTTGATATTTGTATTAGTATTACACTCAATACGTACAGTTGCATAATTTCATTATTACAATTACAGATATAACCTTATCATATTCAATACATTGAGTACGTTATGCACATTCTGTAACTTGTTATCCCAAAAACTTGTCTAGAAATTGGTTTGCAATTCATAATGCCCCCTAAATTGAATCATGTTTGAGCTGGTGAACACCAAAATTCTCCATCAAGGGAAATATAACATTTTAGAATACATAAATATATGATTCCAAATAGTTTTCGGGTAGGCAGACCATTTATTGAAAAAATAAGTATTTCACGCGTGAAACTGACTGTAACATTAAATTTGGAAGACCCTGTATATCATATCGCGAGTCTTAACAATTTTGAGAATGCCCTCCGATCGCGGATAGTGTGTTTGCATTTTTATTTTTAACCGCTTGCACTCGTGCTATAATATACTGAGCAGCTGCAAATCTGTCTATAAATATTCTTTATATAATGCACTGCAGCACGCGATAACTATAATATATTATAAAGTAAGTAAAAACATATATTATAAACACACACGAGCTAGACATAATTTTTTTATAATCATCACATATTCATATAGAAGAACACTAGAGAAAAAAAATGTTCGATATTTTATTCAACTACCGCGCTATCAGAATATTATTATTTAAGTTGTACTTGTAATTCGAAAAACTATAATTTGTGAATTGTTTTGAAAAAAAAGAAGTTAAAAACCCGTTTTTTACCGTGTTTAAATACCCTTGAAACCAAAAGTAGTTTAGATATCTATCGGTATTAAATTTTATATTATCTCATAGTACAATATTAACGGTTTTTTACTTTTTAGTACATTATAGTGTTTTGGACTATAGCCATAACTATTTAAATTGCATTTACAGCAGCATATTTGTTCACTAAGGGGATTTGGTGACGGTTTCCCAAACTATTTCAAACTTGGTAAAATTTGGAATTTTTTTTACGTATAAGGTTTTACGTGTCAGATACTTATACAATAATCTACTGCCCGAATAAGCCATTTAGACCAAAAATTCAGACAAAATTGAAGGAATTGAGACTGACGGATTTCAATTTCAAACACGTATTAAAATTTATAACAGTTCTTTACTAAAATACGCTAGATTTTTTTTTTTTAAATTTTTAATTCTCTTTATCATAAGTAAATGGAAAAATACTTTAAACAAGTTTTTCGTATTTTTTTCAAAAATCCAATGAAATTCGTTTAAAAATTCCAGTAAAATAATTAAATTTTTATCTACAATCCTGTAGAGCTAATAACCTAAAGAATCATAATACTGGGTTTTAGGTTTAAATACACACAGTCACCAATTCTTTTAAAACAACCAATCATATTTTGTCGTTTAACCTATATTTTTCTATTTTGTAACTGTGAAGAATTGAATTTTTACCACCACAGGAAAAGTGGTAGGTATATAATTCAAGATCGCCATTTTTCGAGTGACAACACTACATAATAAAAATAATGTTCTGGTTATGCGATATACGTAATATTGTGTACGTTGCAAATACAGCTAATCAATAGAGTTCAATATTTATTATTATTTTATTTTTTTTAGAAGTGTGCTTATGGTGACTGTTTTTAATTTTTTTTTTTTTTAGAACCAAGAAAATAAGGCGTTGCGAGTATAATAAAATGTACACGCGGTAGAGATAATATTATTACTATCGAATATTTTATACAAGAAGATCGATAAATAATAATAACATTACTATTATTTTGATGATGAAGCGACCGAAGTATAAATTATATATATATTTTAGTGAGAATAAGGAGCGAGATTGTTTTATGGAACATAACAGCTGACTAGAAAAAAACTAATACAAATCTTTTTTTGTTTTGCGGTAAAAAATAAAAAATGATCGTAAACTATAATTTTACTCGAAGCACTACCGCGTAAGTACAGTGTATTTTAGTGTTTCCAGGGTTTTAACAAACGATATATAGGTCGGACGACCTTCGATTTAAATTCCGTTTTCAGGGGGTAATAGAAGAGGGTATCGAATTACACACTTCAGGACAGATATTCAATTTTCAACAATTTAGGTACGTGCAATGAATTTTTTGAAAAGCAACGCTTTGTATGAACATTAGATTCAATAGTCCTTTTTTTAAATCTTTAATTTATCTGAGATACAACTATCTAAAGTCGGTTAAAAAATATGATTATTTTCGGTTTTTCGGCAAATAAAAATTAAAACGGACGACTTTAAAAGTGAAGAAATTTGATAACTATTAAATGGGGGAAAAAAAAAAATTATTTGTAAAGATAATCATAAAATAACACATACGTAATAATATATTATATTATACGTTTTAATTTTTGGAAATGTCGATAAAAAAATATTGTAAGTACCTACTGATCAAAGTTGCTTGAAAAATAAAAAAAACTAGATCAATTAAAATCTAGTTTTAAAAGTGGGAACCGCTTTCAAAACAAATAATTTGAAAAGAACATTGCCGAAAGGGTTAAACAATTTAAATTTATTCTGAAGTTTAGCGTATTTCAGTACTCTCTATCGCCTTCCGAAAACGGAATTCAAATCAAAAATCATCCGGCCAAAACATTTGGTGTTATACCTGGAAATACAAGCGCACTGTATATATTACTTTAGAAGATAATGGCGTCGAATTATTAAAAATAAAATTTCGATTGTTATAAATTCCGCGACGTAAATTTTTTTAGCCTCATTACGTAGGTATTAGGTAAGTATATAATTTCAAATTTATAAAAATATCCAAAGTGTACGTGTAATAATCAACATCGGAGATTATAATTTAGTTGTAGCTGCGGCATAAAAAAAAAATGTACAAATTGTTAACACGCGCGTTTTGTTTGCCCGGAATTTTTTCGTCTAAATTCAAATAGTTTACATTATTCTACTACGCGTATAATAATAATAACAATTTATTATTAATTTCAATTTAATAGAGAAAACGGATCGACAATTATACAATTATTCGAAATGATATCGCGGTAAAAAATACTCTCTTCTCCCTTGATAACGATCAGAAATTATGCAACAGTGACGCAATTATTGAGCACTATGTTTTCGGCGATCGTTTTTTTTATTTTGGATATCGCAAATGAGCAAAAAACATGTATTTTCTCGATTGCAACATTGTCGAGTCGGTTATTTCGGCAATGTACGATGACGATTAAATACACGGACCCGGTCATAATATCTATCACCGCCGGACTACTTGCCTATAGTTTCCATCTGGGTTTCTCACCATAGGTTTGTTTAAGCCCGTCATAATATTTCACCGACATATACATGTTTTAGGTTTACACTTACGACCAGTGGCGTTCCCGGGAATTTTCAATTGGATTTACATAATTGTATAGACATTCGACACTAACTCGCCCACTGAACCCACTTAGAGTGGCGTATTTTCATTTAAAGTGTTGAAGTGTAATGCGGTTATTTCGCGACATTTTAAAAAATATTATCTTACTTTTGGAGGTCTTTACAACTGGAAATTTGTCAACGAATCCATACATAGGTATTACAAAACTTTACAAATTAAATATTATTTAAATTTTGCTACAGTCATAAAAGAAAAACTTAAAAGTATTATCAATGCATATTGAAATAAACGCGTAAAAATAGAAAAATGCTCAAATCGACAACTAAAACAACAGCCTAACATTAAACAATTTGTTTATCTTTATTATTACAACTACCAGTTGAAGTACAGAGTAGGTCGTGTCGGTAGGTGTAGGATCAATCTGAACAGTATATTAGTTACTGATTTATTAGTTTTACACATTTAAATAACTCATAATCTATTTGAATGCATAAAATATCTTAGATAACCCATCCACACATTTGGCAACCTGCGGTGCAGTTGCACTATTTGGTATTTGGGCGACACTGTATTACAGACACGGTATTATCTATTAATAACTGTTGGTAAAGCTGGGATTTCCCAGCCTCCAAAAAAATGCATTTCTTGCAGCGTAAAAAAAAAAAAATCATCTAATATTCTAATAATCAACAATAGTCCGCGGCCACTATCACGTATTGTTCGTATATACTATTATTATTATTACCATGATTGTTTTTATTACGATAATAAATTGTCTACTTATAAATAATAATTCACATCAATTACAATAATAAATTATGATCTGGTGGCCGACGATAAGCACGTCAAAGTATTGATGTCATTATCACTATTTTTGTTTTTGCGTAGAGAAAAATTCGAATTATAATGCAAAAAACGCTCTAAAAATCTAAAAAACAAAAAACTCCCTAATAAGTCGAAATAAATAAAGTTGATCGAATATTGCGAAATAATCATTTTTCAGAGCTATACGTTTTAAAACGCCGGAGAAAAATCAAGAAAAAAAAATGTCATCACATCGAAATTCTAGCACTATATTTTATATTGTCTGTGTTATAATACAATTATAATGTTGTGTGCGATTCATACAAATACATAATACAAAGCGGATAGATCAGAAACGAAGAAATCCGATAGCGCGGTAGGTAGGTGTAGTGGGTTTTTTTTAAGTGTATTTAAAAAAAAAAAAAAACTTTACAATAAAAATCACAGCAAATGAAAAATTCTAGGAAGAATCCTACAGAAAACAGCAGTCGCTAATATTTTGTATAGTCGTTTTTTATATAATATCGTTATTAATGTTAATTATGCTTTACAATAATATTATCACGCCATCGTCGTCATTCATATATTATTATTTTAATCTTATAAAATATACCGCAATAATGTAATATTATTGCTTAAATTTGCCTATTATGCTTATAATCGTTGGCAAATATAGGTATTCGAAAAAATACATAAATCAATAACATCGGTACACGAGTAAGTGAATTAATTATCATTCGAATGCTCGCAACAAATGATTATACATCCGAGTAAAAATAATAAATTATAATACGTTGTCGTCTTCTCGACCGTAATTTTTATTTATTTATTTTTTTTTACCGTAAATTATTCAATATTATATTGAATAAATGCATTTTATACAATATATAGAAAAAAAAAAAAAATAAAAATATTTTCTAGCGTTTCTATCGATACATAGTGGTCAAATGAAGCAGTCCCTCTTGGAGCGTTTAAAGTGGACTTCATTTTGTTTTTCTTCAATCACTATGTTATACCTATCCGTAAGGCTTTATTTTAATACCCCTGTATCTTATACTCAAATGAGTATACGGAGTGATTTGTTTATCCTGAACCAGCAATTATCTCAGACGATTTAAGTGAATTTGATTTCGGTTTTTTCTAACTTTTATGGAATGGTTTAAGCTTTATTTTAAAACCATTTTTAATTTGTTACTCCTACTCCATATGCCTTAAATAAGTGCATACTTTTGATTTTTAAATAGGAACCCTTCTTTCGAAGGCAGATTTGAATAAAGGATATTTTTCTAGAAATTTTGATATGCTTAACACTAATACCAGATTTAACGTCTATGAGTTATAACAGTTTAAAGTTTAAACCTGCGGAATAGAGAAGGGTCATAGATAGGCAATTCATTATTCTTATAAAATATTTTCTATTTAAATCTGTCTTCAAAAGCGGAGGTTCCTATTTAAAAATCAAAAGTATGCACTTGTTTAAGATAAACAAGAAGTCGGGAAAGTAGGATGTAGAAGGGAATATAATTTATATTTGTACGCAACGATAAACTATTGCTAACGATAAACGATTCGGAGCGAAGTTTCTTTAATACATGTACGTACATTTTACCGTTTTCCCTATGTTTTTCCCGATTACAATGAAAACCAATTGGAAAATTAAAAAAATGACCACTCTAACGTACCACACAGATAAAATCTTCTTTCAGAAAATGTGCTACACTTGGTGCATCGGAGCAAGATTTTTGGTAGAAAAGTTGCCCACAGAATAAGAAAAAAAAAATGAACATCATTGCAAAACGAATGGATTCTTTGCTACGTTCCGAATCTAAAAATAGAATATAAAATCCACTTAAAATCCCCCGAGAATATCGATTGCAAGATAAATGGATCACTCTGTATAGAAAAAATGTATTTCGATAAATAAAATGTCGCAGCGTAGTAGTTGTATTATTTTTTTTTTTGACCTCGGTTTGCCAAATTGTCTTATCTTTTTGGCACTATGCATATAAATAATAGTAAGTATACTATCGCGTCCTAATATATATTTTCTGATTAATCCTAATAATGGCAATGCTAAATCGAAAACAAAATAATTGCATCATCATCCCAAAAGTGTAGAAATGCCGAACAACATTGCAACAACGCTAAAAACGGCAATACTCATCCAAGACGATCTCGCGAAGAACTTTCGGTCGTTGAACTCAACACACGTAATAAAACAAACTGCATAATAATATTATAAATAGAATCATAAAAAAAAAGGGCATGGGAACTATTGACAAACGACAGTTTTTTATTTTTTTCCACCTCTGTTTTCTATAGGCCAGTCAAGGCAAATCGTTCCTAGATCCATCGAATTTTCATTCAGGTATGAACTTCTATCGAGTAATTACATATCCTTTAATATAACATCTTTCAATCTAATATTGGACCTCCCCTGTGGTCTGTCTTTTTCCGTACGGATTCTCTCCGTCGCCATTTTGCTCGTGTTCAGACCATTTTTATTTTTTTCGTCAGTCTTCCTTATTGCAATGCAGTTATACTATATTGGATTTTGGAATAAGGCTCCTCTACTACCTTTACATTTTTCCTACTCCAATTTTCACCATTATCACTATTGGTTGCAAAGGAGATTTTTCGTCAAATTTGTCTTTCTAGTAATAAGAACTTTTTCTCGTAAAATGTGTTCAATGGTCAATTGACCATGTTTCCGCTCTGTACCAGACGAATCAAAGTCACACGTCATGATTTTTTAGCTCCTTTGATAATTACGATCACTTTCCCAATATTTTTTCACGGCAATTATCACCACCTGTATTTGATATTATCGTCCCGGAGTTGATAAAGAGTGAAAGAAATTATACACTTATCAACTAATGTCTAATAAATATATTATTTGATGAATAAGCGGCCGAAATTTTGTTGAACTTGTTAAAGTTTTGATAACGTTGCAATGCTGAGCCGTTGACCAAACGAGCGTTGAAAATTTGATTTAAAATATAATATATTTATGCCCTCGACTGGGCGGGGAGGATAGTCGACCGATTAAAATTATTCATTTGCTTATTATAATTCGATAATACTTGTTAGGTGTGGTTTATGAATATATTATTAACAGAAAATGACATCGAAATAAAATGTACGAATTACGATAGGTATATACCTACCTACGTCACAATTGAATAACTCCCGATGCGTTTAGGTGATTTGTATTTGCACTCGCGACTCTATCGAAGACGATTATAATGTATACATTATTTATATATTTTAATGAATTTCGCGTGCATTCAATTATAAAACGTCTTTGGATGTGTCTGTACAGCGCCATAAAAAATTGTTCACAACTTATCGGTACCTGTATGCATACACTATAATTTAAAAAAGGTTATAGTATCGCGATGTCCGTAAATGATTTTAGAAAACACAAAACAAAAAAAAAAAAATCTAAAAACACTGTAGCATATAATTGGGACTTTTATTTTGTAATACATCCGGATATCATCAACGATGAGTCATGCGATTTTTTCCCGTAAAGCACGTTGTTGAACAAAATGAAAAAAAAAAAAAAAACAGATCGCGCGCATCCCTTTATAATTTAATACCTATTATCATAGTTTCTGGTTTAAAACCATTGGTTTTCCGCATTTAATTTTTTTTTTTTATATTAAAATAGTATGTATAATAATATAATTTTTAAATTTGTTTTTATATTTCAATGATCACCTTAACGATAAGAGTTGCCCTTTAATGGGAAGGGGTACGGCCGTATTTACGGACGAATATAACTTTTCGGACAAAACTGTTTTACTGGAATTACGTTTGGCGGATTTCAATTTTGAAAACGTATCATGATTTCTTACTACAGAATACGCTGAAACGGTATTACGAATTTTAATTATTTCTATTATAAGTAAAACACTTCAAGTGTATTTTTGTAAAACGCGCAAAAACACAGTGAAATTTGTTTACGATCTCCAGTAAAATAATTCATTTTCTCCGTACAACATGCTATCGTGTCAAAGAACCAATCGTCTTATAATCCCTTTTGAAAAACGAAATCCGCCATACACAATCCCTACATTGTTTTGCCCGGCCATCACGGGTCCCGAACGATTAAAACACGCACCGTCATCCGACCCCTTATAAATGTGTTCAATCCTGTCGACACGAACGAAAATACTATTACGCGGTGGGGTGCGTCGTAAAGAATCGCGTTTCAACCGTGCAAATAATACGGTTAAAGCGGAATGACATTATTATTATTATTTTTTTTTTTACAACAAAATCGCTATTTTCGGAGTTACAACGCTATAATGTTATAACGCGATACACAATATACGACTGTTATTATTATCTATTTATTTGTTTATTTATGACATTTAATTTTTTTTTTTTTTTTTGTCCCCATACTGCGGTTCAGTTGCGATAATGTAAACAATCGGGGGGGTGGGGGGTGGGGGAGGGGAAACACACAACGGAATAATAACAATCGCGCACACGATGTGCATTCGTTGATCGATTGCATAATCTCGTATTATTGCAAATAATAATATCGAAAACGTGGTATTTTTAATAGACGGCTGCGGCGGCGTCTGCAACGCATTACGGAGTGGGAGAAGCGCGGCGCAGTATGTAAGGCGTAGATAAGACCAAAAACAATAAAATAAAATAATTACGCGCGCGTGCATACGTCGCGTCGTTATAACGTTTATCGTGTACGGCATGGCGAAACACGCAGGTAAACACGAACACGGTTACCTATGTACGAGCGAAAAAAAACGAAGGAAAAAAAAAAATAATAAAAAAATATACTACACGCGGGTATCGGTGTATGGAGTAGAAGAAAATTGTCGGACCAAACAAAACAACAAAACAGAATATTATGGAAAATTGCATCAAGGTTAACGCGGCCGCGGCGACCTGATACCGCGAGCGGTCGATCGACCGCCGCAATTAATATCGGAGAACAGCAATTATCACGGGATCAGTGGCGTTTTCACGGGGCGATTACGATCACGTAATGGCCGTATAGCGAAATACGCGGAAAAAAACATAAAAAACATAAAAAAAAATAAAAGGGAAGGAACAGGCGGGATAAGTGGATCGTTTTTCGACGCGTTTCTCGGCGTTCGAAACATACGACGACACCACTGCACATCGCGATAACATAATATTATCGCCCATCTAGAAGCGCCCTGTATACGTGCATCTAATAATTATGCGAGTGGACGTTAAAATTCTACACAATGCGATTGATAACATACTGCACACACACGGAGTGGGGATTACGGTTTTCATATTATTTATGATTTTATTATTTACACCGCACGGCAGGTAATCCCCACTAAATTTTTCAATAGCCGCATATGGGTATGGGTTATAGATCACCATGCACATTTCTAATGACCCTGCATAATAAGTATATAACATTCACAGTTAAATGATATTATACTGCAATACTTATAATAAATGCATTTTGTATACACGCGTGTAAATAATATTATAATAGCAGACTATATGCGCGCGTTAAACCGCATGCACGGACGGACTATACAGAGCGACCAATCTACCGTATAAGACACTATCGTGATATCCGAAAATATATTGAATTTTTGTTTTAGTTTATTTTATTTTATTTTTTGAAAAATTTAAGGTTTAAAATTACAGCTTTAATTGTTAACATTATCCCTTGTTTCTTTCATGTTTGCCGGCGAAATCACTATTAAAATAGCAACCTATAAATTGAAAAATTCCATAAACAGACGGAGTTTTATTGAGTTTAAACACATTTTGGTGTTGACAGATTTTTTTTTAATTTCCGTCGAACCGTTGACGAGATATTTCACTTTTGACTTCGTAAATGCCTTTAAACCACTATAGAGAAAGACACAACCGAATAGTTCCTATCGAATTATTCGATATATGATCGCATTCGAACTGTTCGATAGATTAAAAACTAAATGTTAATCTAAATACGGTTAGTGGTTTCATCCCGAAATATAAGAATGACAAAAAAAAAAAGAAAAAAAAAGCGAAATGTAACATTTTTAATTTTTCCATTTTTCAAAAAATGTCAATACACGTTCCGAAATAACGAGTGCATTACATACTGATCACTCTGTATAGGGTCTGTCGGTTGGAAAAAAAAACAAACATGATATAATATAATTTAATTGCGTAAGTTGGCGAGTATGAAACATATATTATAATAATTATTAATAACCATGTAAAACGCGATATTGTATTTGTATTTTGAAATCCTGTAATCGACACTAAAAACATACGCATTACACTTGGCCACTTGGGTAATACAATCCAGAGGCAAAAGTTATGTTATTCAGAGTAAAACGCCACCGTTTCATATCGCAAAACGATTTTTCGCAACAAATATCGACTACGCGAAGTGTAACGACTACATACTATATTCGATCACCTACGGCGAAATGCTTAAAAAATCCGTATGAAAATTATCTGAAAGTTGTTTTCTCCTGCCTCCCCTCTCTCTTAAAAATGGAAAATGTTACAATAAGAAAAACATAAGAGTTTAAAAATCGAACGCGAACGTTGTACTGTAATGTTTAGTCTTGCACGGAGTCACGAATAATAAAGCCGAACGTACTTAGTACCGGGGAGGAGGAGGGGGGGGCGAAAATAAAACCAAAACTATAATAGTTTATTTTTCTCAGCGCTAAAAATCTAAAACAATAAACGAATTCGCTAATAAATCCACAGCACCGAACCAACAGTGTGTCGCCGGAGATATGTGAACGATGATATGGAATCGTAGACGGAATATTTTACACGTAAAAACCATTACGTGCACGCATTCGAAATGTATACCAGTAATACGAATTAGTTGACAATCCCGACGACGACGACGATGTACGTATATTTTATTAACATTGGTTATAAAACTGCATAATCGTAAAACAGACGAGTTTACTATTATTGTTGTATATCGACGACCTTTGATGTTGTGTGTTTAATCGATAATGATACGAATTGTTTTAAGTACCTTTGCACCGTGTGCAGCGGGAAATATTTCACAACAACCGATTTTTCCCTATAACACACAACAGTAATAACGAATACAGAACACAAAAACTTAACGCGATACAATAAAATAATAAAAGACAATATGGAAAAAAAAGAAACGACGGTTTGATAACATTATACAACTACACGGTGACATACACCTTACATTAATACTGTAGGTAGCACGATGCGACACGACGATCGACGAGAGTTTCGTTTATTTATTTATCGTCTCGTGCATCCGCAATGAGTTTATTCGGTTTAAGAGAGGCCGTCGTCGCGGATGGCATTCGCGCCATTTCCAACGCAATGTAGCGAAACCGAGTACACGAAAAACCAACGTGAATGCATTTAAAATCGATTTTGTTTTTTTTTTTTTTTTTCTAGAGATAAAACACTACTTATACGAAGTTTAGCAACATTTTTTTTTAAAGATAATCTCTTCAGAGTTTTTTGAAATATTAATGGTTTAAAAAGGCTAAAACTATTAAACAAAAAAAAAAAAAAAAATATGCACATACGCATGAAATAAGATCGGTTGTAGCTTCGATAGTGAGTTGGACCATTTAAAAAGTTGTGAAACGCTGACGAAATTGTCTTCAAAATGTTGTCGTCTATACAAAATTTTAAAATCGACGTTTTTCTCGAACACCGATTTTCAAAAAGCCATTTCGTTTGTTTAAACGCACACGGTTTGGCTATATTGCCCCCGTTGGAAGGACAAAGATACGGCAAATGCCGCTCACGAGGCCGAAATGGTTGTAGTTGCGTTTGTTGTCTGTCTTTTAACAAAAATGAGCATAATACATTATGCGAAAATGCATTTGATTAAAAGAAAACGAAAAATCATATTAGAATCGGTTTCATAGTTTTTATAATAATTTATTATAATCTTCAAGCATTTCTCTTAAGTCATAATTTCAATAACAAATACCAACCTACTAAAAGAAAATAGATACAAAATAAATATAAACATAAAATATAGAGGGCCTGAAAATAATTGGAATGTTTTCAAAATTTTACCGAGTCTACAAAAGACCAATACATAAGTAATTTGTGAACACTACAGGTCTACAATAAGTTTTCATCGAATAACAACAAAAAAATCAAAATGCCGTACATTTTCTCAAGTTACCAACCTCCCCCCCCCCGGTTTTCGTAATTATTAGTAAAAGTATACAGAAAATCAAAAAAAACGACTTTCTTACTTACAAACTAGACGAAATTTTCTTTCAGAAAATATGCCATTCTTGAAATCTGAAAAAAGATTTCTGGTGGAAAAATATAATCTTAAAAAATTCAAATAATGAAATCGCACCACCGTAAATATTTGCCGTTTTCCCCAAAATTTTCTTTCGGGGTTTTCACAAGTATTTTGAAAATTGAAAAACGGCCTGTTTAATGCACCAACTAGACCAACAAATTTTTGTTTAGAAATAATTCTATACTTGATATTTTGGAGCAAGATTTTAGTTAGAAAAGTTGTTCAAAGACATACACACACACACACAATCCACATATCATAGTAATACTAAATATAAAATATGTAGCAGAGTATTATTATAACCAGTACTACATAATAGTTAATGCTTTATAAAATAAGTAAATATATATCAAGTACTTTTCACCATGAATTCGAGTGGACGTTTCCACATTAAAAATAATTTCTATAATAAATAATTTTTATCGCGACCAATGTAATTTATTTCTATGAGGATTCGCTATTATTTATTTATTTATTTATTTATTTATTATTATTTTTTTTTTTTTAAAGTGAAGAGGACAATTATATCCGCATAATATACATATATTATACAGTCATCAAATATAAAATGAAAAATCGTTCGTAGAGTCCCTACGCAAGTACTCGAATTGAAAATTCTCAGACTGCGTTACACGGGCGTCATATTAAAAATAATATTATTGTTATTATATTACGTATCTATAACTAATTTTTAAATTATTATTTAAACGTTTTTTTTAATCAAAATATAATTAAGACGAGTGAACTCGAAAAATCCATACTTAGAGGGAAAATAACTATAATATTAGGTTAAGTAGTGCTCAATTTTACAAAAATTATTGTTTTTTTTATCTACATAAATTATAATTTAGATAGATTTTGTATTTCTTTAATTCCTTTAGATAAATATTGTTTTAAATCGTAATTTATATATTCATTAAATATAATAAGTAAAATATTTAATTTTTGTTATAATAATTTCATAAAATAATATAAAATTAAATCAAACACATTTTTTTATGAAATCATTATGTGTACACCCAATCTAGTACATTTTTATTATACTTTTAACACTTCGTTTTATGGTTGGTAATGAACAAAATGATCTATTTTTTTTTTTTTTAATTCAGATAAAAATTGCTGATTATATTATCTTTACCTAGAACCTAGATATTCGTTAAAACCTAATTGTTATGTATCTTTCACCTACATCTAGATAAGCAATTATCACTGCTTGTAATTAGAGGTTATTTACGATATAGAAAAGTTATATGTAAGTTATAGAAGAATAATAATTTTACTATTAGGGTGAGAAATAAGCGCTGGATGTACGGATATTTGATCAGGTGTTCATATATATAAATATAAAAAAAACAAAGGAGACAATATTATTTTTTTAAGTGCGTATACTAGTCTAGAATAATCAATGACATTTAGTTTGTCCTCTAAGTAAAAAAACTATATTTGCCACGTTGTCGTCGTCGTCGTTGTCGTCGTAGTCGCGAATACTACAGATACCTAAGAAGTTAATTCAGTGGCTAAGATCGCGAGAATGGCTTTTTTTTTGCGCCGTCAAAATGTTAAATTGGGACGAAAGCCAAGAAATAACTAAGCATTTCTCGTTCATAATACAAGTATAAATTACAATGGTATAATATAATACAGTAATAAGTACGGGTATACCTATGCTATTATAATTGATGCGAACGCGTTATTTACACATGCATATTATTGTATAAATTTTAATACATCGTTTGGTTTTATTTTTATAATTACATTTTTTTTTTTTCATGAATTCATACTAATATTTCAATAAAAAAAATGAAAGGTGTCTATCTATATTTTGTTACTATAGTTTATAAGGCAATACATTTTAAATATCGTTTTTAGTCAAATTTCCCCACGAAAATAGAAATTACATTCCACGATACGAAGTCTGTTATAATTTTCCAGCTATTTTTTACCGTTTAAGCGGCTCCCTCCGGCTCCCACCGTACCGAATAACGATGAGCTCAAACTTGGAAATAATAGTTGTTTTATTGGTGAATTAAAGCTATAGAAGTGGGTTAAATTTAAAAATAAAGTCGTCGCCATGTTGTTGCACGGGAGGCGACGCTTGTGTTTCAGCTTAACACCCCTACAGGTCTCTCAAATCAGGACAATGGAATTTTGTTTATGCCTATGGTATTAGTATCAATGACGTGACTTTGGCGGTTTAAATTTTAAATCCCCGCCTCGTATTATTTGCATTAGACTGAAATTTCAGCAATTTTTTTGTCGAAGTAGTATATTTATACTGTAGTATAGTATTATTATTAGTAGTATTTGGTTATGTTTTGTATAGTCTATTCTACAATTACAACAACTGGGTCGGTAAAGTGTTTTCAACTGCAGTTTTGTAAGTAGTAATATATTCGAATGTTAATCTTAGAACACACGTAATACATAAATATACAATAATAATCATAAAAAAAAAACCGATACATTTAAAAAAAAAAAAAAAAACCCGTATCGCCACCATCACTATTCTTACTATAATACTGACATATACATTTTATATATAGATTTGACTCGGAATTCGTAAAAATAAACGAGGTAAACCTAGATACGCTGTGAGGAAAAAAAAAAGAAAAAAAAAAAGAGAGCTGATATAGCTGGGCACGGGTGCGGCCACTGCAGTTGTAGGTAGGCGGTTGGGAAGGTGGGATACATTAAGTTATTTAATTTATATCTGTAACCGACGATAAACCGTCGCTAAAGAAAAACCGCACTGAGAGAAGTTCGGTTGTACCAACGTGTTTTGAAAGGGCGTAATGTTTCCGTCGTTTCTCTTGGAAACGCGGCCGCGAATTTAAAACTACGGGAATGGCCTATCCGCATACTATTCGAATGCTGACCACTGATCAAGTAACAAAAATAGTTTTCACGATAGAACTGCAGTGTATAGAATATCTATTTGTCGCATTATATATATATATATATATGTAAAAAAAAAAAATGCGATTTCTACTCAATATACATAATATAGAAATTAAATATGGTAGGTCACGTATGTATAATATATTTTTTTTAACGACTCGTTAAGACACTCAACAATTATTATTATGTTAAACGGACAACAACGGGAGAAAAAAATTACATTTTTACGTCCAGTTAAAGTATACCTATAAGGCTTTACCGCGAAAAATATTATCGAGTAAAACCGATAGGGAAAGATAAGCCCTATTCAAGTTTTTACGATTTTTTTTTGATAAAAATAATCTACGTTAAAAGTTTAGTGTCATAATAAATCACACACGGTTCGTTATTGGCGGTTTTTTTGTTTTTCGAAATTTAAATTCCGCATTTGTTTTTTAATAGCAAACGCAAAATCGAATGCGATTATAATGCGACTGAGATATTTTATTGGTATATGTGCGTGTTGCAGCTGTAGTGTGTGCGCCCACTTTAGACGACAAAACGATAAACCCTATGGAGGGGGGGGGGAGAGAAGAGAAGAGAAGAGAAAACACCAAGAATGTTGACAACGATATTATATTATTTAGTGTTGTGTACGGGAAGAAAAATGTGTGGACAATATTATTTGTTATGTTAATATTTGTGTGTTCGGATATAAATAACATATTCGTTTTTGAAATCTTAAAATACGTATTATATCATTTTTACCAGATGATAATAATGTATACTTGTACCGTAGTCGAACGTGATAATTTAAATAAATATTATAATTGAATCATTCATAATATATACATGGTGTGTCTACAGGATTCGACGCCTAAAACGAATCGCTCATGTTGGAAAAAAAAAAAAAAAAGCGCTGACGGGTGTGCACTATTGTGGGCGGGAAGTTGAGAAGATAGGATATATGAAAACCGTTCGGAAAATGATTTTCATTGTCGTCAACTAGAACCAATTTCAACAAAAAAGGGTCTCTTGTTATTTTTTGATTGAAGCAAGATTCCTAGTAGAAAACATAAGTTAAAAAAGAAACGTAAAATCATGAAATCGTTACACCGTAAATATTTGTCCGTTTATCCCGTTTATGACCGCTTGGAAAATCTAAAATAGACCCCTCGAAAGTCTCAAATAGATAAAATATCCTTTTAGAAAAGGTGCTACACTTGATACGTCGGAGCAAGATTTCTGGTAGACATTTTTACACAGTAAATATATAATTAAACATCATTGTGAAATCAATAAATTCATCGCTTCGCACAGAATCTAAAATCTATTACTAGACGATTATACTTTATCATTATGTACTGGCAATTGTTTTTTTTTTTTTTTTACTAAGATGTGCGCCAATTTTCTTTTTTTTCCGTCTTCGAATAACTCTACTACCAAAAATCTCGTTCCTATCATCGGATTCGGGGGCGATTTCTAATAGAAAATGTGGTTAAAACTGTGTATTGATGATGAGGTCATTACCCTTGTATTTTTGGGACAATTTGGACTTGGGGGTTGGGAGTATTTACCGATTTAAATCTCACGTTCGGATAAAATCTACTACATTATAGAATTTAAAGTAATAAGTTGATAGCAAACAAATACTTATACTTATATGCATCCTTAAAGAACCGTGTAAATTACACAATACCAATTTAATGTTACTTCTTTTTTTTAATTTTTTTTTTCGTTTCATTTTCCCGACTCGACTGTGGACAGAATATATGCCCCATCACTGTTACAATATCCAGCCGAATCTATTCAAAATACAATAAAATTTGATAACATAAATTATTAGGCGCATTCGAAAATCCGTTCTCACGTGCCACACGCCTTTTTTTTATTTTCGGCCCAAAAACAATAAACGACATAACCGCATCATAGATGAAACTGGTAGGCCAGTCTAAGACAAAGTAGTATTATTACACAATAATATAGACAGACGAGGTAGGTAGACACGATAATATTTATAGGCAATTTTATAGCCACAACACAAAGAACTATTTCGTTTTTTCCATTTTTTTGTTTCGCTTTGTACTAAACCGAAAATAAAAAAATAAAATTAAGTATAGGTAAATAACTCACGCGGACAGTTAAAAAATCCACTTTTAGTCAACGGGAGGAGGAGGGGGAGGAGAACACAAGTTTTTAAAAATATACCATACCGCCTATTTGTAACCGCTCTGGTTCGCGACGACTAATATTATTAGGTACCGAATAATAGAAAACCCGAAGGAAATTCGAAAACTATGTAACGTACATTAAAACGGTACATAGGAAACCGACAATATTTTTATTGATTTAAACTAATAATCGTTACAAAAGTCTGTTCGGATATTGCCAAAAGTTTAGCCGTAAATATTGACCCGCCGTTAATCGTTGACTTTAAATATAGCGGCAAAATCGATTTATTTTTACGGTAGCATTAGTAAAATGCCGTCATGGTCGTCGGATTTCGGTCGTCTACATCTCTTTGTAACCGGACAATGTGTAGCGAAACCGCGTTCAAGCAAAACGAACGAAAATGCCTTTGTAATCGGTTTTATGCATCACAATATCCGAACAGCATTTTAGACGCCTTTTAGAATATACACTAATATCGTCGGCATTTTTTGGAAATATAAAAAAAAAAAAAAATTTATCAAAAAACTCTAAGTTATTGAAATCACACTGTTCTTCAAAAAACATATTTTTGATAACGAGTCTGGGTTTCAACCGCGAATGGATTGTTATTTTTACATCCGATCGAAACCAGAATGGCTGTGTATAAAATGACTATATTATAATTGAAAACGTGAATACGATAAGCAGGAACAGTATACATACAAATATACAAATATAAATATACGCGATTGATTATGCGATTTATTGGGAAAAAATGTCTGGTTGAATTGATATCGGAGTCAACGGCCGATTGTGTACGAGACGATAACAACGACGTTTCAAAGAACCGAATGTTCGCAAAGAAATTTTCATTTTTTTTTTCTATTTGTATTTTTACCGAAAAATATTGTTTCGTTGCCTTTTGACGAACGGACCGTCGCGCCGTCGTCGTCTGCTGGTTGTAATGGAATCTATTCATACCCAAATATATTGTTAATAATAATAAATAATTTACGTTTCCAGAACGTAGTTCGTCCGTCGTATCATTATTATTACGGTTATCGTCGAGTCGTATTGAGTTTCAATGCGAGTTCATTAGACATAAAAAAAAAAAATAAAAAACCGCACAAAATTGACGTATTTCTTCGGTTCGCGTGCGGCGAGTAGACGTGGAAAACGTAATATTAAATATATACCTACGTAAAATACGCACGGTTCGCGTGCACGAAAACGGTCGAAAACAAAACGGAAAAACCGAAAGGGCAACATGAGAAGACACCGAGTGGGTTGTGGTGGGGGGGGGGGGGTGAAACGTGCACAGGGCGGTCACGAGAAGATCGATGCGGGCGCTCGGCGCGAACGGAGACGGAGAGAGACATTGTGTTTGTCGCGGTCAAGCGGACGATCCAGAAGAAGACCGCGCTACGAGTGTTCCGGGAAAACGGCCGCGGAAGACGGGTCGGGGGGGGGACCGAGGCGGGAAGTTTATTGCGTTCGGACGGGCATTCGGGCCGAAGATCGCGCGACAACGGAAGGGGACGGACGGGTCGCAGACACCCGCGGGTTTTCACGACGGTTGAAACGACCGAGTGGAAGATTAGAGGACGCGTTTGGGGGGACGAGAGACACGAGGGAAACCCGAGAAAAAGAGAACGAGGGTCGGGCGGGCGAACGGAGCCGTGTCGCAAAGTGCAAAAACAGAACGGTTTATTAACCGCGCGTCCCGTCCCGTCCCGTCAGAGGAGTCGCGTCGATTGTCGGAATGTCAACGCGGTTAGTAACAATCTCTCGTTGGTTTTGAACGGTCCGCGGTGCGGACGGACGACGTGGAACCGATCGAAACGCGACGGTCGCGCGCGCGGAGATTTTCGCCGTTCGCCGTTTGAGACCGTGCGACGCGACGGCACCGAAACGAAACGAGACGCCGCGTTGGTATTCGGCGAGTGCTGTCGGAACGGCGGAACACGTGGACGTCGCCACACGGGGCGAACACCGTCGTCACGGACAGTCCGCGGATCACGTTGAAAACCAGTGGCGTGCCCGGGAATTTTCTTTTGCGGTGCCGCGCTCGACTCGACTCGACTCGACACACGCGACGGGAACGGTAAATCACGCGGCGTCCCGTCGGCGATTCACGACGATGGACGGCGGGAGGGAAAATAATACGCCGCCGCGGCCATTGTCGCGTAGCCGTGAAAAACCGACCGGCGATGTCGTGTCGCGAGCGCGGCCGAGCGGACACGCCGCGAACGGTCTCCGGAGCCGTGCGCCACCGGGGCCGGTCGCACCGGCCGTTTTTACGGACGGACGATAACAACAATACCGAACGTGATCGTGATCATCACGAGTAGTACACACAGCGACAGTTGGACGGAACAAAGGAATAGCGTTCACAGTACGCGACAGTGTTATCGTAAATATATATTTATCCGGGGGCGGGGCCGAGGAAATCGCAAAAATCACACTGTCCGCGTTGTCGAACGACATCGTCCAGCGGATGAAAAAAAAAAAAAAAAAAAAAAAATATTCGAAATCGTATTATTTTTTACGCGAATCCATAATTTCCATTATAAACGTTATTATAATTCGCCGGCCGTTAACGACCGTTGTTGTACGCGTGCTACAGTTTGAAGAAAAAAAAAAAACAAAAACAAAACGCCGATAAATATGCGCTCTGCGATTTTTTTCCCCCGGGGTTATGTTCGTTTGCAAATATCGTCTCGTCGTTCAAAAACCGCCGGAAACAAGACGAACAACAATCCACTGAATTTATGCAACACGCACGCCGCGGTAATTACTCGCGTAAAAAAAAAAAACAAAACAAAAACAACCGAAACTTTCTCGATGAAACTTTCAATTTTGATCGATTTATTGACCGTGTTCAGACATTGGAACATAACGTGTATTATTGTAATTGACTGATCGATTTATCGAGGTATACAAATAAATTTTGGCATTCATCATCCCCGCGCACGAACAAATACAATTTTTTTTTTTTTTATAATTGCGTATCACGAAACAAATTTCTTTCTAGCCGAGCCGTTTTCTTCACGGCGACGCGGCGAGACAAAATATACACGCAAACGCCGGCAGTCCTTGGCCCCGGGTACCTAATATCGCATCGCCTACAACGTTAATGCACTGGGAATCTGACATTAAAATATGTACAGGCTGCAATGCGAAAACCTGACACCCGCCATACACGTTGTTAGGTCCGTCCGATATTTCGTAGGTTTTTATTTTCTCGTGATAATTACTAGATCCTTCCTTTCTTCCTCAATTCTGTTACATTGTTTTAAACAAAAATATTTTGATACTACATTTTAGTTTAACAACAAACACGACCGATTTGTTAATTTTCCGACATTTTTTTTTTTTTTTAAGTTTACGATAATTTAAATCGTTTTTAATGTCACCACACTAAATCGATTTGTCCACGGAAGGTTATTTTGTAAATGATTTTAGAAAACTGTTTTAGATTTGGTTAGAAAAATATATTAAAACGAGCGTGGAAGTACACCGGCGCAATTTATTATTGCGCCAACAGAACCATAACCACTCCATCGGCGCCAAAGTTTTCTCGAAAACGAAATAGTTCTTAAAAAAAAAAAAAAAAAACCATAACCGGCATTAAGCATACTTAAAACGTATTATTATTATTATTTCGAATTCTACAGACACCCGCGTTTCGAATGTTTCGTCCGGGACCTTTCGGAGAAGTGGCGAAACGCGATTTGGCGACTCGACGAACCGGACGAAAGCCAAGGGCGGGGAGTAGAGGGGCAATGATGTTCGGCAAAATATACGCTGTAACGAAAAACGAACCGTAATGGTAAAAATTGCCCAAACGTATCGAGTGTAATTTTCATTGTTATTAATGCGTTTAGCGTTATTCGATTGTTGGTCTGTCCGCGGGTCTGTTATTGAAAACAACACAAAACTAAACCGTAAATATGCAATAACGATTATGAGTCTACGATAAACTCGGTTTGATCTCAAAGTCTTTGGAACATTACGGGCCGAGACACTCGTATTGATATTCGAACATTGAATTTGATCGGTCTGTATATCAACGCTGCCGACTGTTTGGTTTGTTACGATTGATATCGCCCGCGGTAGATCAATTGTTGTGGATTCCGAAACGTAGAATCTTATCCGGTCAATAAAAAAACCAATTGAAAAAACACACGGTCGATCAAATTACAAAGTCGCACTGTTCACAGTTTAAGGGCTCAGGTGCAGAGGCGCCTACGGAACAACGTGAACACCTACGAATTCTCAAACTCACTGTGGTGTCGGCAATACAATTATCCCCTTCCTCTGCCCCCGCCGTTTGTGTCGGGGGGAGTTTACCGCGACACTTAATCATTAGCGACTGACACTTTCGACACAACCGTTTGGGTATTTACTATTATAACGGCCCGTTTCCGACCGTTTTTTACCCCCCCCCCCTCCAAACCATTCGCTCGATTATTACGCCTTAAACAACAATCGTTTCTTTTTGTTTGGTTTTTTTTTATCGGACAACAAAACCAGACGTTTTGAACTTGTATAATACGTACACTGCGGACAACGAGAAAACCGTCTCCTATTGGTTTTAAATAAATAAATAATCGTATTCAAGACTAAAATTTGGAACAGAAAAAAAAAAAAATAAATAAAAAACGCCGGCCTTTCGCGGAGTTTGAGCCCCAACATATCCATAATACACGGCCAGTCGCAACGGAAAATGCGTTTTCTGCCCGGGGGAAAACTCGAAAGCTGTACAGGCTATTAGAGTAATGATAATTATGATAATAATAATAATAATAATAACAATAACAATAATAATAATAATAATAATAAAGAAGCAAATTTACGTCATGCATGACTTGCTGGCGGATACGCCGGCCAAGTTTTTGTACTCTAGTTCGTGGCGGTTCTGTTGCAGTTTCGGCGGCGGCATCAGGTCGTGGCGGTTTACCGGCGGCGGCGGCGGCGCGCTATTGTTGTTTATGAGCCCGGCGGCGTGATTCGCCCGCGGGGTGATCGAGGGGAGAGCCGGCACCCCGTGTATGTCGTGCGTCTGGTTCGGCGAGATGACCGGACCGCCGTACGCCGGGATGACGGGCGACGACGGCGACAGCGACGACGACGACGGCGACGACGCGTAGGACGACGCGTTGCTCGGCCGCTGTTGGTAATTCACGCCGTTGAAGTTGGGAAAGCCGTTAAAGTTATTGTCGTCCGGCACCAAGACCGGCTGCAGAGACGCCGCAGCGGACGCCGTCGAGTACGCGTTGCGGTTGACATGATCGCCGGCGACGCCGTGCTGTTGGTGGTGATGGTGGTGGTGGTGGTGGTTGTTGTTGTGACCGACGGCGCCGGGCCCGACGCCGTTATACGCCGCGTAATGCACGTTGTTGTAATAGTATCCGTCGCCCGGGGCCCCGGCAGTGCCGTTGAAACCCTGTTCGTAGTGAGCGGCGGCCTGCAGGTGATAAGCGGTCGACGAGGGTTGGTACGGCGTCGGCTGCAGCCCTATGCCCCCCGGGGCGACGCTGAGACTGTGGGGCACGGTCATCGCGCCGTCTTGGTGCAGATCGCTGAAGCCACGACGGTGGACGGGATAGTTGCCGTTGAAGTACGCCAGTTTTACCGATTCGTATTAATATGCCGGCGCGGCGGCCACGCGATGGACGAGAATGAAACGCGAATGTTCACAAAAAAATAAAAAAGAAAAAAAAAAGAAGAAGAGAGAAAAAAACGAAAAAAAAAGAATTAAATATTGAAACGTTCGACCGACAGCGGAACGTCGACGGTATAATAATAAAGAATAACGTGTATACGGGCGCGAACGGGAATCGTAAATGACGTTCAGAGCGCCTCCGTCGTCGCGATGGCGGCGTAAGCGTCCAAAACCCTAACCGCACTCAACTTGGAATCGCGTGCACGGCACATGTTGCTTTCGACTCGATAACTACAACTGGCGCGGCGGCCGACGACGACGAGGACGGACACGCTTGACACATTGAACAAAATCGGCGGGCGTCCGTAGCACCGCACCGCACGACCGCGCCGCCCGCCAACGCCGCCTCCGGTGGGTCGTCCCGCCACGGGCCGTTTTGTATGCGCGCGCTCAGTGCAACCGGGATCGGTGAGCTGGAGGGGGGGAGGACGCGCACACGGATACGTACACCACTGCGACGGCCGACGGGGAAAGTGCGCGCGCGCGCAATTTTGCCCGCCCGCTGACGCACGAAATGCACTTCGCGTTGTCGGCGGCGGTCCGCGCATCGCGGACGCTGCTTTCCGCGCCGCCGTTGCACCGACGGTAACGATATTATTCTCGTGACCCAAGGTCATGGTTTGGCGAGCGAGGGGAAGGATACACCCACCGCCGCCGCCGTCGCCGCCGCGCCGCCACCGCCGAACCGCTCGCGTAACGCCGCCGGCCCCACGTATAATAATTATTGTAATAGTATTATATGCCTGCCCGACTGCACCGTAACTTTGTAACGTTATTATTATTATATTAGCATACTACTTTTCGCAATATCGCGGCCGTTATTGTTAAAAACATAAACAAACAATAACAATGCACCCGCGAGGGAAATGGCCAGTTGTATTCATTCATCCGAACACTATACGACATTGTTTCATTCATTTTTTTCGCCTTTCGATTTTGTAAATAAAACAGCATAAAATCTGTTATCGCGATAACGGGCAATAAAATCAGGCTAGAGTACCGTGATGTCATACGATGTGATAACACTCGTGTATCGAATACGATTGGATCGAAGCGAACACAGATGTTACGGGAAGAAACTTTAATGTATTTTTGTTAATCCCGTTGGTAAAAACTTTATTCGAGCATAACAACAACAGTGAAATCTTTAAGTATAAACACGTCCGTTTTCAATGGGAGTGTTAATTTTTTTTCTAAATTTGAAGTTACTTGCTTTTTCAATTTTGATGTAATACTTCGGTGAGACGATTAACAAATGACCGCGGCCCGTAGTTAGTCACCGCTGTTTTTTAATACATCATCATGATGAGCTATGAAAAAAATATCACGCGAGTTTTTAATAGGACTGTTGAATTGTTCGGAACCAAATGATCCAATTGTTACCCGTAAACGGACCAACGAGAATAGATGACTTGGGCGCTAATCGTCGGTATATAACAGGCGGATTTCGGTGATGCAGTTTTGAGTAACTCTTTTACTGGATTAGCGAACAAACTGTTTCGGCGATAGTGGATAGCGCAATCAGCTCATAGACCTCGGTCCCCACTAAAATATTAAATGAATACGATTGACGGGGTTTTGCCTATTCGTCAAGGGGGCCCTCAGACGATACAGAAGCCAAGCTACCTCAAAATCGCGCCACTTGGTATTGTTTACTGTGGTTGTTTGATAATTGAATGCGCTCTCGGCAACCAGGTTACCGGAATCAACAAAAAATATTAAAAACTACGTTTAAAGTCTTGGGTGTTATCCACTGGTAGAACACTGTTTGGTAAACGAAACGTTTTGGCGATATTGTAACCGTGTAAATAGTAAACAACAGCAAACAATGCAGCGAACCGTAAATACCGAAATCTGTATCGCCAAACCACGTCTGTTAATCGAAAGCGGAAGAGTTTGGCATCAGCTATAGACAAATCACTGAAAAACGATTCTGCCGGGAAAGTTCGATTAAACGTATATTGATTAATTAATTAATCTATAATACATTAAGAACAAAAATCGAATATCCGAATTTCTAATTAAGTTTTACGATTTTATAAACTCCGGTTTGGTATTAACCGTTCGAGATAAAATCATATTATAAAAAATACGCTAATTTAAAGGTCCACAAATAATATGCTACAATCAGGTTTTCGTTAATTTCGGTTTCTTTTTAACTATGATGATAAACTCTTTCGCGTTAAACTGTTGATTAATAGACGTGTTTTGGCGATACAGATTTCGGTATTATATACGGTTTGCTGTTGTTTACTATTCGGTTACAATGTCGCCAAAACGTTTTGTTTACCAAACGGTATTTTACCAATGGATAACCAGTAACACCCAAGACTTTTAACGTAGTTTTAAATATTTGTTGTTGATTCCGGTAACCTGATTGTCGATAGTGCATTCAGCTATCAAACGAATAATCTCGAACGGTTGTATACCAAAACGGAGTTCTTAAAATCGTAAAACTTATTCGAAAATTCGGGTTTTGTTTTTAATATATTAATAGATTAATTTATCAAAATATGTTTGGCCGCATTTCCCCCGGAATCGTTTTTCACGTAACACGCCCATGTTGCGAGGTATGATTATCTTTGTAAAAATCGTTTATGTTTTTAATCAATGTATTTAATAGTTTTGAACGTGATTTTTCCGAAAAAATAATAATAATAAACAACGGATTCAGTATAGTACAGGTGTGGACGAGCGGTCCAACGCGTTAGACTAAGGAATGGCATTGGCCGTTCTGCTCGGGTAAGTCATAATTTTTCGCATTTTTTCAGCATTATTTTTTTTTTTTTTACGAATAAAATATTACACATACAGAAATATAATTGTTTTAAAATTTACATCGCCGAACAATATGCTATTATTATAGGTATTATAAGTATATAATGTTACGTCGGATTTTTGTTTCTACATTTTTATTTTTAAGCGAGATACATGCATTTTTAAACTGTGATGTTTTACATAATGGTGTCCCGCATCGAAATAAAAATATCGAAAAAACTCGATGTGGTTGCACAGATAATATTCGTGTATTTAAGTTCGATTATAGGTCAATTTACTCTAACATTAAAACAAACCACACAACGTCCCTGCTGAACGCTAATTTGCCGCGTCGAGCATTTCTGGGACGGAGGCGCGTATGCGGGTATCGTGTTCTCTTAATTGTGTCTATAAATTTGATAATTCAATACTATCAACATGACCAGCCAAGACTTCCGGCTTTTCAATATTATAATTTATATCAGAAATGATTTATGTATTAAAAAGACGATCCCCTTTACAAACATCTTAATAACTTATAAAATATCAAAAAAATGACAAACACATTTCGGGAGGTATTATAACATCCTAAAACTTCTCCTGCTAAAATCGATTTTTGTTTTTAACTATTTATTTCACGCCTAGGGGAGCTACCTCTATGGTGCTACGGATTAAGTGAACCCGGGACACCGAGCTTCTACTGGTGGAATCAGGTGGGTGATTCCGGTAGGCATGAATTTTCTGAAAAATTGACTTTGGACATGCGGAGGGATAAATCAGAAGCAATAAGAATTGTAATTAAAATAAACGTAGGAGGAAAGAAGAAGAGAGGATAATCGGAAAAAAGGTAGTTGGGTGCGACTGAGAATGATACGAGGAAGACGGGATCTCTTTTCTTTTTTGAAATAAGGTGCGACTCTTTGCGGAAATTGATCAATATGATGTAGATGGAAATGCAATAATAAACAGATATTCTTTTAAATGTACTGAGGTTTTGTACAAATCTGTAACACATCAAAACAAGCCGATATATGAAATAATATTAATTAAAAAAAAAAACAAAAGACAAAAATGATTAGTGAACACCTCGTATAGGTACGATTTAAATAACAATGTAGAAATTCAAAATAAGATAATTATTTAAGATTTAGCATTCGTTATACCAATACACACGTCTTTTTAAATAGTAATTAATATTTTTTCATTAACATATTATGCATATAAAAGTAACGCGAACTAAGTACGTGACTAAATGATGATTAAATCAAGCAATGTTTATAATTTCAAAATATGTATACGTAAGTATTTATTACGTCAAAATTGAAAAATATTTATTTTTGAAAATAATAAATCTTGTTAGAATAAGTACATATAGGCTTAACGAAAAAAAATATCAATACAGACAAGGCAGATAAAAATATAATAAAAATAATGCTGATGACATAATTTTCTATAATAATCGATGTATTTTGTTTGACGAGTCCATGGAATATATTTTGAGGAACGGTTCTGAAATAACATCTGACGTTTGACATGTGAATATTATACACGCCAAATATTTGGAATAGTATTTTTGACCGTGTGAACCGACCGGTTTGCGATAAGAAGAATTTAAGCAGGCATAATTAATGTGGCCGATGATCGATACAAAAAAAATAATATAACGAATACGTTTTCTTTGACGTACCGAGATTCGATATTTAAACGATTAATAATTTTTTGGTTATTAATATTATTATTTTTTGTATGAAAGTTGGCAGTGTTCGAAATTAAGACGTCATCGCTGCGATTTTCTCTGAAAACGCGCAAAAATAGAAACGAAATAATAACACGAGAGAATATTATATAGTATAGGTATATCATATTATCACACAAATATATCTATTGAAATGGCATGCTATCGAAAATGCGTAGGTTTCGAATGGACAGAAATAGTGACAATAACCTGCCAGGGGGGAAAGAATAAAGGAAAACCTTTGGTATAGTTTTAAGTTAGAATGGACATCTATGACAGTATCACGACAGTTTGAAAAAAAAATTCATAAAAGGGGACGTCTAAAATTCCAGAAGAAAAGTTTCACGCCGTATCTTACTGTCTTTTAGCTTTAAAACAATAAAACACGAATGAAACAATGGTTGTACAATTCAAATTTTAACATCGTTGATACATCACACGCAATATTTAAAACAACTAATACAATATGGACAACCGTTTCGCTGTTGTTATTTGCGCCGAAAAAATGGACTACTTTTCTTATCAGAGAAGTCTGTGTTTACATTTTGTTTATTGATACGAACCGATTGACTACCAGGAATAAATAGGAATCATAAAGTTTACGGGCATCTGAACAATAATATACGAAATAATATGAATTCACTTTGTTTCAATACGTAAACACTGATAACTCTTGGTTGAGATAAGTTATACACTTTGTTGACTTTCAACATTTTACACTACAAGAGGGTACTATTATATGGAGTCGGTTATCTAGTTATTTTATATTAAGTTTAGGAGTATAATAAGAACACATTGCTTGCATTATTTGCGAAGATGTCAGCGTGAAGGTTTTTTAAATATAAAATTCTTGGATCCGAAAAATCGTTTTATCTAGAAACGAGTATGATTTAGCGTAAAACCGCTACGATAAATATATTAAAGGACACAAATGTATCCAAGAAACTATACGGGCGTCGATTTTGTTAAAAATTAATTCGTCAAAAAGGTTTTTTAACACGGTCAAAATGGCCACTTTTTAATTTTGAATATAACTCGTTCCAGTAATAATTTAAAACAAATTTATTGTCATAATCCAGGATCTAGATAATTTTGGATCATTGTCTGAAATGTATTCATATATACGTATATAACGAGTAAAAATTATAATACTACCGCCAAAGGTATTTTTTCGTGTTTTACATGAACACGTCTCTTTTGGACGAAATTTACTTTTAAACGACAAATTCACTAGGCAGTGATAATGTTAGATAATGATAGTTCAATTGCTTACACGCAGCAAATCATTATAAGAACGCTACACGTGAATTTATTGTATCTGTCTTACAAACGCACGACTTGGGCTGTATTTTTAAGATTTTTAGCGAAACAATAAGGAATGAAATGATTTTTTACATTTTATTTTTTTGTAGTGGCTGTAAACAATTTTCTACAAGAAATCTCGCTCCAATCAAAAAATTACAAAAGGCCCTTTTTGGGTTTCATTTTCAATTGTAATGTATTTTTTTTAAAAGAAAGACGAAAAATGCGCTTATGGACAAGAAGTGTCTTTTGAAGTGTCTTCACTTCAAAATTAGTATTTATAGGACTATAAATACTTTTCGATACTTTTCTGAACTGTATATCGCGATACATGATACAATTGTATCCAAGATATTTTTATCGAAGATATTGCCAACCCTGGGTACATAAAGCTATATTAACGGCAGTCTCTATAATTCGGTTTTTGATAGTTGTTATTATACGAATAGGGTTAAATTAGTCGGATAAAAATAATAATTTTGTTGTTGACCCGCATATCGTCTTTTCTGCGATTATACAAAAATAAATGTTTAACCTAAAAAAAAAAAAAAAAATTATTTAGATAAATATAAAAATGATTGATTTGTGTTAAAATTGTGTCGCACTCTATGCCTGGCTACACATTATTATTTTGTGCGTTGTATATGCATATTATATGAATAAATACATTTGCATAACTATAATAGTAATTATATCGGTATGCATTTGCATCGGTGGTATTTAAATAGATAAACAAATTATTCATTCATAAAATAAGTTGTATTTATATATATATATATATAACAACTTTAATTCAAATACAAAGTTAATTAATGACAGACTATCATCCGTGTGTCGAGTTCTATTTTTTAACCCGCGTTACATGCAGAACACGTATGACTATATACATATATACTTTATAAGGCGATTTTTTTTTTTTGATAATATGTATATACTAATTGAAATAACATTAGAACATAATACTCGTATAATTTATACCTACTGATAATTTCAATTAAATCAATTCTTAAATTACATTTTTATCTTTTACGACTTAAAATATGAAAATAAATAAATTGTTAAACACAGCGAGATTTTAACAATTGATTAATTAATGTACGTTAAATCATAAAAAAATAAATAAGCGTGTAAAATAACATTTTTATATTTTTAATATTTCGAGAAATATTTTCCATAACCTACTATTTTTTTTTAACATAAACCTGTTTTTATTTATGATAAATTATATTACAAATAGTACCAACCTAATAAAACGTTAAAAATATGAAAAAAAAAAAAACAAAAAATATTAGTAAAATTTTAAAAAAAACCTCTCCGACTAGACGAAAGTTACGAGTAACCACATCTGAAGTAGATGATTAGAGCAAGATTTCTGTTCGCAAAATTGCTTACAAGTTGTAAAACATTTTTTTTTTTTTTAAAAAAAACATCTGTTTAACTGTATGTTAAAAAAACCCTATTAATTGAATAAAATAATTGATATTTTAGTTATACTTAAGTTTGTGATCAATTACAGAACTTAATACAATATAGTTTAGAATATTTTCCTACAACTAAGTCAAAAAATGTAACTGACCAAAGAATTAATAAAAATTAAATAGTTGCAATTTTTCTTATATATAATATATTTGTTCTTATTCATCAAAAACTATATAGAACAAAAATAAAATTCGGTTAAGTATATTATGCTGATTGTTATGTAAAAAAAAAAAAAATATTTTACGATTAATCGATTAAATAAAAAAAAAAAACATTCAAATTATATTATGATGTATTTCGAAATCGTATTGAAACAAATAATAACTTTTTAGCTTTAATAATACGATTCTTCCTGTTCAATATCCGTTTAGTAAAGTTTCTTTATTAGCACCCAATAAGTTACAACCTTTGAACGATTTTATTAAATTTAATATTTTTCAAACACAAATACATATTTTATTATTTTCTGGTTTCTAGGCTTCTATAACGACCCACATAGAGAAAAATCATATAGAATCGCTGTCACGAAACGATCAAATATAATTTAGTATAAACTAGCAAAACTATGCAATAACATATAAATATTTGCCCTTGTAATAAGTTTTCAACGCTGAATAGTTTATACTGTGTGTGTGTGTGTGTGTGTTTGTATTTTAACACGCCCAACAAGGGGTGGGACCGAAGACTCCTAAGTTCAGCCCTTTAAACAAGCCACTGCGGTACTGCGTCGAGTTATATACCAATAAATAATAACTCGATATTTTAATACGATCAACGCGATAATTTTGCGTTATTTTGATAAATCAGAAGTGTGTCTGTAGATTATTATTTATACGTTGTCGGTTATGTCGGTGGAATATTTTGCCAACGGTATCGTGAAATTCGTGATATTTTAACGAAAACAACAACCGTAGAACAATCGACACGAAGGACCGTATGCACACAATATTTCAGTCGACTAAAGATATTATAATGTGTATTAGGTAGTTTGGTTTTATAACGCGAGTCAATAAACTCGGTTATAATCTACAATATTTTCGAAAACTTCGATTGTACACAACAATTATGTATTATATCACAAAAGTCATAGAGATAATATTATTATACTATTATTGTCAAAAAATAACCTTTTTTTTTTTTCGTTTTACTAGCCATATCTCTATTGCAATCGTTTTAGTATAATATAAATGTATTAAAATGTGTTAAAAACGTGTTTTATAATTAATTTTTTTAGGTTGACATGTGACACTCTCCTTCGAAAACCTTAATTGCGTTGCTGATCACTGAGTAAAAAAATAATTTTTTCTGCAGTTATTAAAAGAGGCTACCTAACCTAACCAACGCTACACACTATCGAAATTGAAAAGGACGCACTATTACTCGAAATTCCACTGTAAAAACTTTTTCGCGGGGAAATATTACGGCTTATAGATCTTATAGAGTTCATTCGAATGTATCAATTGTTTACCGCGGAAGGAGATCAATATACAGTATAAATTCTTTTTATTTTTTGGTAAAAATTTGGTTGCTTAATCAAGTCTATTGTCAGAGTAATTTTTGCGAGGTTTTCCATAATTATTTTTGTTAATTTCATGATTACACAAGAAATATATAGTATGACAATTATGCGGGACTATTTGGAAACTTACGTGAAAGAGAATTTTAATATTTCTGAGACGATCAAATTTCATTTTTTCGAAAATGTCCTGAAAATAGCATATACGTAATCTTTAAAATACAGGAGGTAGCACGCCCTTTGCGTGTAATGTAATCAGGACATTTTTAAGAAATATGATAAAATAATTTAACGGCTTAAAATTTGATTTAAATTTACTTTCTGACCAAAATAAAAAAAACGGCTTCTTATATGTAAACAAATATATGTATTGTATACAATATTAGTCGGGAAAATTGTTTAATAACACTAAGATAACGGGAAACAAAAAAAAAAAAATTAAATACACACCGATCAAAGTGATTTTAGAATTTTTACTTATTACGAAAAATATATAATATTATATTGGGTAAGAAATGATGATTTTCAGTTAGGAATAATATTGTGTACAATGTACCAAACAATAATATTGAAAATTAAAAAGTGGCCTTTTTGGCAATGTAAAACTAAACGATTTTTCGATACATGGTTTTGTGTCAAAAAACTATCGTGCCGCAACCGCCGACGGCCTCTTAAAGACAAAATTGTAACTAAGTATTAATAAATTAGAATGGGTACAAGATAAAAAATGTTCATTAAGCTATTCTTTACCATTACGAAAAACCGTAAAACTGTTAAGAATGAAATACCTAATTAAGGTTGTCTATACACGTAACCACATTTTAGATCAAATTGTAAATATGTATGACTCATTTGAATAGAATTGCCCGTTTAGGAAAACAGGAAAAAAAATATCCGATCACTGCATACTTCGAATTGTTCTTATAATCTAAATCAATCGGAACGGAAGAAACGACTTAAGGAATGTTATTTTATTTTAACTACAGTATCTATACCTATAAATATTTACCGAAAAAACAACAACGCGCGTTTTTGAATCAACGGTTTTTTTTTAAGAAGGAATACAACAAAAAATCAGATAAATTTCGAAAATTATACCATATCTAGAAAATGCTAATATAAAATAATAGTATTCGGTGAAAATTTCAAGTTTCTACGGTTGTTCTTCATTGAATAACAACGGAAAACCAAAATCGAAATGAATACAGTATCCTTTCATTATTATTATCACTTAATTTATTAGCAGAAACTATCTCGGAAGACGACGATTAGAGCAAGATTACTGGTCAAAAAGCTGATCGCTCACAGTCTAAAACGAGTGGTCCGATTAATACATAATATATACGTAGGTATAAGTAAGTTAAATATTTTCATTCATTACAGGGGTGGCGGACATCAACATTTTGGACTATAGATTTCGGAATGCTTGCGGGAAATAATTTCTTCGAACGGGTCCTCGACAAGGCCGGATCAGGAGTCCAGTGTGAACTTGATATAAGGTGGACGCTCTTTGTATACGTTTTATGATAATTTTTAAGAAATACTTCTTAAAAAGTACTATTTTTTTTTTAAATTTTTTTTATAAAACGAACATTTTATACACACAACGGGCTTAACTTATCCCTTTATATCCAAAGCCCCTGCCTTTAATCAGGGCTCGGTTCTCGATTATTGTGTTCATTGAATTAATATGTTAACATTTCTAAATATCGTGTACGAATATATTTAGTTTGATTTCAAATTGCGTACTCTATATATTACCGTTAATATATCATAATTAAAGTGGAAACAAAAACGGAATTCTACACACGGCTGTAACACAAGAAGTGTGTTTGCAGCGGAGTTAATATTATCAATTAAATATTTTAATTGACGTCCCGTATCTTTTGTTCGGAATGGTGCATCATGGTTTTGACCGATTTATAATCGTGACCTCTAAATCGAAAACAGGATTTTTATAAAAAATATATTTAACTAAAAAACTTTGACAAAAAGTGCCTATTATTTTTTATTGTTATTTTATTAACACAGCGAAACAATTAGTTTGATATACAAATTAGACAGTTAGACTGAGGCTTGTAATTAAATACATTCGTCCACTATGTACTTTTTAAATAAATGCCCGAATAATATTATATTACATTCCACAACGCGATGCGGTTTTTTTTCTTTAAAAATAATTTTTCACCGCGCACAATATAAATCCTAACTATAGGTAACAATAAGTTATACGTTGTGGCGTGTCCGGGAATTTTCGATTAGAATGGATGTAGTAAAAATAATAGTTACGATTTTGTTGTATACTTATCTAAACCGACCGTCAAAATTTTAAAACCGGATCAAAAAGAGCCAACTTTTATTCGATTTTAAGATAAAATTACACATAGTAGTTGCATTTTTAAGTAAATGGGGTGATATAACTCCTAACCTCTCCCATTGGCACACGCTACTGTTTGGATAAAATTCTAAGGTTATACGTTATAGGTTCTAACGTATACTATTCAGATCAATATTAATTTTTTAAACGGGTAAGCCAGCAGCGTTTGTTTTCTTACCTGGGTGGATTCAAAACTGGAGTCTCTTCTATACAAAATCGAGACGAAGACGACGAACTGGAATCTTTTTCGTCCTTTATCACTAATCGTTCGCGGTCTTCTTCTTCTTCTTCGCCGTCGCCTCCGCAATCATTTTCGCGTGGTGAATTACTACTATTGTCTTCCATGACTGCTATACCTGTGTACAAATAATTATAATTCATTATAATCGAGTGTTTATATTTTATCGAGATAATAAATTATTGTTATCATTACAGTTATTTATTATACCCGAATAAGTGGGACAAATATGGCATTAATATATACGGTTTTTCGAATGCGTAGGGTGAACACAATGTCGTAATTACGGATTAAAGAGCTCGTTTGCGGTAATTATATTGGACACCTACCAAGTTTAATTTTTGTACTAGCGTTTTAGAATTTTTTTTAGGGTTTTAAACACGTTTTATTTTTGTTTATATGTTAGAAACATTGAACACTATGAAGTTCAAACTAAGTATTGGTAAACTTACAATGTATTTATGATATAGTTTTTAATTTTTTTCAACAACTTTAGATACATTAAAATTTTAAATCAAATATTAATGCAACCAAATTCCCAAGACCACTTTTTTTTCTTATTTTAAGTTTATGGTTGTAAATATATTATTTTATGTTATTATACTTAGCTACTTTACTTAGTAAAACTACGAATACAATTATAATTTTTAATTTAATTTTAACAAATTAATCAAACTTTAATTTTAAATTAAAAAGATGGACATGCCTCACACGATAGGCGAGATAGTGATCCTTTGGTGGGCCACTATTGTAGGTGAGAAGTTAGGAAAGTAGGATATAAGGGGGAATTTAATGTATATCTATACGAAACGATTAATTATCGCTTACAAAAAACGTTTTTGGGCGAAGTTCGGTAATATGTGCCTTGAAAAGCCGTAATATTTACGATTTTCGTCAAAAATTTTATATTAAAATTCTTATAAAAAACATTTTATATTACACTCATTTTTTTTTTATATATATATAACAATACAAGTACAACATATAATGAATCTTATGTTAAATTGTTAAGTCTGTTTTTCCTAACAATTTTATTTACTAAGTACCTATACCGAATAAAAATTACGAAAAAAATCACGAACAATTAAAATGTCTATAAACAACTCAAAAATTTCTAAAATGTTTGAAAAATTTGACCACGTTTAAAAAAGACAAATATAACTGGTTTGTTCAAATTGTAAATTCTTAAAATAATTTTTAACTGAATCACAACAAAAAACAAAATTGAAAATAATACATTTCGTAAATTTTCCTGTTTTTCATACGTTTTTTTCTAGTTTTTCCAAATTATTGCATAAACCGCTTGAAATATTTAAAAAATAACCTCCCTAAAGTACCACCCAGATTAAATTTCCTTTCAGAGAAGGTACTAGTAGCACTCTTTAGTAGTACTATTCTTGATACATCGGAGCAAGATTTCTGGTAAAAAGTTGTTTACAAATAAAAAAAAATAAACATCATTGTAAAACCAATACATTCCTCGCTTCACTTAGAGTCTAAAATAATAGGTACACCTATAAAGTTAGCAATAATTGTTTGTTTGAACTATTCACTCTGGAAACCCAGCAAGAGAATTTTTACAATAGGATAGTATTCAAAGGTTATTGAATATATGATTACGAATCCCTTTGTCCGAAGTCTTTTTTTTTTGGGAGGGACGCGATCTAGTTAAAGGGATCTCAAACTTGAATTTTCCCTTGTATATATGATATAATAAATTACACAAATAAAAAAAAAAAAATACTCTAATCCTTGGCATTCCAAACAATTCTATCCATAGTCGCTAAAATCTTATCGATTTGAAACAAACCAATCGTTTTATTATCAAACAAATTTATATAATGGGCAAATTTAAAAATTACTAAGTATAGAATATCATACATATTGTGCTAACTTTAAAAAAATGCAATGTCTATAATATAGATATAGATTATAGATGAAGGCGAATGACGATGGATCGGGGGTGATGACGTGTGGTAGGCGAGGTAAGATAAGATAGATAAGAGTTTTATAGGCATAAACGTCTCCAATAATTGCGAGGGATGAAGGCGAAGTAGAAGAAGAAGATAACATATCATAACAGTTAGCAAAATATTATAATAACTGTGTCGCATAATTTAACATTTTACCGCAAACGACGATAAATTTCGAACAATGATGATACCGTTATACGTATTTTATTAAAATATTATATTTTTTTATTTAATTCAAGAGACCGTAGAACATGTATTTTATAATAATATTCTCTGATTTGCAAAAAATCTCATTATAATATTACATATATATATTAACATTATAAATTGCTGATGGAGATATTTTAGTATCATAAAGACTATACAGGGGGACCAACATCACGTAAGACTCGATATCTCGGAAAGTATTAACTTTTTTCTGGATTTGTTTTGTGGCATTTAAGTGACAAAACATTTTTCATTTTAATCGTTTTATCGTCGTTATTTTTCGTCATCTTAATTTTTGGGATGAAATGTGCTACACACTCGTGATTTTTAAATATAAAACGAAAATTCCATAAATTGATGAAGTTTTAGTTTAAATACCTTATGGTGTTAACATTTTTAATTTCCGTCAACCCGATGACAAAATGCTTTAGAGCATCATTTGTGTAGTGGCGCGGGAACGGGTGCACAGAAATAATAAATGTCAATATCAAAATTTAAATGTGATAAAAATAATAGTAATGTACCTAACATTTTAGAGCTCCGTTGTTTCTTAAATAATCTAAAAATCGATAATGGAATTTTTTTTTTTAGAAATAATGAGTTTTTTATATTATGTTGATCACCCTGTATAACTACACAAACATACAAGGGCGAATCATCAATATTTTATTTGTTATACTTACACTTTTCATCGACACGAGTATACACTAACCTACTTGCGTGTTATATTTTTTAAAAATAAAGAAAAAAGATTTATGTATTTTATCTGTGTCGCATTTCATGGGATTATAACGATATATTGTATTTTGTTTTTATACATTATCTATAATACCTATATATATATATCACGAATTGAGAATAAAAACCACTATAGGTTTTTCGTATACTATACACGTTTCTATATTTTTCTAAAATTACAGACGATTATACTCTCCCATAAAAAGTAAAATAGTAAATTCCCCCAAAAATATTGTACTGTCGTATTACCCAGGTATGTTAACTCCCCCTAAAATGTAACAAAATAATATTTATCTCGCTTACTATATGTATACCTTAAATATATTTATACCACTGATTATTTATATTCATAAACCAAAGATAGGTAATTCTTCCTCTTAAGCTTAAAACGGTTCGTGTTTAGGATCATCGCCGTTACGATAGGTTAGACGAAAAATAAAAATAATACGAGTAAATGTTTTACTATGGTGTATTTTGGCTAACAACAGTGAACCTATAAACTAATAGTTTGCCACTGCTTTAAATCGACTTGCGATATTAAATGACGCTTTAGCTGGTTTTTAGAATTATTTGCATATAGCTATATATTTGTATGAGAATATTATATGTTTGTAATTTCTTAATATTTTTAATCAAATGCCCTTTAAACATTACATTACAATAGTCCTTTTTTTTTTTTTTTTGCAAGTAAATTATGCAGATACATTCGTCTAAAGTTGATTAAAATATATGATTTTTTAAATTAATTTTCAAAAAATATAAAACGCAAAACTTTAAACGTGAACAATTTGACTATGGTATTAAATGGGGAAAATAGTTTATTTGTAAAGATAAAACAGCATATACATATTAACACAAGTTTTACATTTGTTGAAAAATCTATAAATATTATATTTTTAATCAATTTTAGATGGCTCTATCTTGGGTAATTTTTTAATAAAAAGATTTGTAAAGGTCAATCAAAGTTACTTGACAGAAAATAATACTATTCGAATTTAGTATTGAACATATTATACTTTTGCTATTCACAAAAATTAATTTATATTGCACATGCGCACACATCGAAAAGGGTAAAAATTAATACTAAAATGTGTATTTCAGTACTCTCTATCGTCTTCCGAATACGAAATTTAATATTCAAGGTTATTCGGTCGAAATATTTAGTGTTACTTGGAAACGCGAACGCACTGCTTACATACATAATGCTATAATTTTATGAAACCTTTTAAATAAATTTTAATCGTGAACGTATAAAACGCAACACATAATACACGGTTCACTTTTATTGTTTTTTCGGTAAAAAATGGGAAAATTTAATAAAAAATTAAAAAAAAAAAAAACGTATTTTGTGGATAAATGATTAAAAAGTAAATAGGATATAGGATAATTATTATATTAGTGATGGACGTTTACCCGGTAAATATTTTTTTTTGGATAAATTTATTATAAATAGAAAAACTAATTCATAACTATTGCTACAATACTCCATTATGATAATTTCCTGACTTTTTCAGATTGGTTTCCAGAGTCAATAAATAATATTTATAAAGCTTTTATACATTTCTTTCATTTTGAATTCAATATTCCTTTTAAAAGAAAAATGTAATAATGAGAAAACAGTAACTTTATATTTATTCATAAAAATAAATACAAATACAAATATAATACATATATTACATATAGAACTTTTTTATGACAATCAGTTTTCTTTTGTTTTTTTTTTTTTTTTATTGAAAAGTATCTAGTTTTAATCGTGTTTTTCTTCTCGTATTCAAGGTAAATCAAAAAATCAACAAAAATGGGACCATTGTATCAATGTTTATTTTAAGTTTTTTTTTTTTAATTTTACAGAAAACCCGTTGAGAATCTAGATATTTTTTAATAAATAACGTACCACCAGGCAAAAACTCCACATCTTTTAAGGGACGAGGCGAGGATAATTTAGACAATTTTTAACTAAGCGAAAAAGAATTTTCCGAGAAAAATAACCAAACAACGGCCCGGGGGTGAACTGTTGAAAATTCAAAACGAATTGTTAACCAGTAAAGTACCGCCGCCGGTTGGATATTTTGCGTCTTTCAAGGTACTCCGTGAAAACACTATTAGAAATCATTCGCCAAAAGCGATTGTTGTCCGAAAGAAAAGAAGACACGACTTAAAATCCCAAAAACAAAAATAGAAACATAAACAGGCATGTATGTACTCGGATGCCGTCTGGAACGAATAGCAACGGAATTTTACGGGAAAAAAACTGGCCAATTTCGTGAAAACGCGTACGCGCCGCTGGCCCAATAGCAATAACAATAATCAACTGCGGCATATAATACTCGAACGCGATACCTGGCGTTGAACGTAATTTCTAAATACGTTTTAAACACGATAATATTATAAACGTTCTGTGTCCGCGCTGCGAACACGTTGTGGAAAACAAACCGGACCAATTATCACAATTATCTTTTGCGCAGTCCCGATCGCGGTCATCTGCGGGTTATCACGGGTGCAGATGACCGTGTTCCGGTCGGACGACGATGACAACGGCGATGATGATAACAATAATAACAATGTCGTATACCGGGTGCGAAATGCCCGCGCGGAACACAACGATCGCATCGGACGACGGCGACGGCCGAACCACACTCTACACGCACACGGTAATAGCTATAGCGGCGGCGCGGCGGGGAGGGCGACCGCGCGGTGCATCGTGTGTGCAGCACTGCGCAATCTAAACGCATTATTGATCGGACCGATCCGGCGTCAGTGACTAGTATTATACATAATATATACACGTATAAATATAATACACTGGTGTGTAATACAGCTCGAATGACCTATATAGACCGCCGGCATTTGTCTAGGATAATATAATAAGTGTGTATGTATGTGTGTATACGTTATAAAGTGTTCTCTATGCATTATGCGACGCGAGGATCGATTACGTTTATAATAATATCGACTGAACAAGAAAAAAAAAAAAAAAAAGTGCGCATATTGTATTACGCGCACAAAAATACGAAACATTCGATAAAAACCCAATAAGGTACGTATTCCAAATAGAGTATCCGCGTAGAAAGTCGAAAAGTTTAAAGTTACTTGAAAACAAATCGAATGTTCGAAAAATTGTATTGACTATGTTAGGTAGTTAGGTCGCTTATAATAAATCACTTAAACTCGACCTATTGTGATTTACGGGATACCCACTCGAGGTCGAGTAGAAAGTATACAGATACACGAGTGCAATTTTAAAAGAAAAGTACCCATTCCCAACTTACTCAACTACTCGAATTCAGTTATAATTTAAAATTAACTTTAACTTAGCTTTGTTTTAGGATAACTTAACTCAAACCAGCTGAAAAAAAAAACAGTTGCCTCGACTAGTATTGGTATAATATATCGAATAGAAAAAGCACGATTCTGAGTGACGGGTGCAGATGTTATGCGGGGTGGAAAAACGAAATTTTAATTGAAAACCACGTGTACCTATTAATTCGTACAAATACAAAATAATCGTTCGAGAATATTCGAAATTTAATGATGGTCATCAGAAAAAAACCTGATAAAAGTATAATAACAACTCTAGAAAGGTTATTTTTGAACAAAAAAAGCACAACTAAATAAACAAACATGCCAGCAAAATATTATGAAGCGTTCTCCATACCAAAGTCTAATTCCAAAATAAACGATAAAAACGTGAGAAATTAAATGATTTGATTAAAATTGTTTTGTTTTTATCGCGATTATTGTACAGTTTCTCAGTCGTGTCTGGAGCACATGGATAGTGATGGTGGGAAAAACCATAAAGTAATGTGAGAGAGAATTATGATCTAATAGTATAGAGATGTTGTTATCTATCACGACCGTATAACAGAATTGATCACAAACCGTCGGTCATTGACTCTGAGTAGGATTTGTTCCGTTAGATCGCGCTGTACTTGATAACACAAATACTAAAATCGCATTATTAGGTATCTGTGTATTACAACCACGGACTTCGGTACATTGTTGTTTGTATTGAAACGTAGATATTAGTTACTTCATTATCATCTATTAAAAAAAAAAAAAATAAAAAACAATACTGGTACAATATTTTAACTAGTATGCAATAGTAGTATTAAAAAAAAAAATAGTTCGATCTCTATCCAGATGTAGCATTAACAAATACCAAGGAACGTCGAACAATAAAAAAATGCCACTTGATCAGCCGATCGAGAAATCGTAGTTTGTCGAAAATCGTTTTATATCAAAATTATATAGTTTTATTTAGCGTAATATCATCATTACATTTAGTTAAATATTAATTTAAATAGAAAAGGGAATGACAAGACTTCTCTTGTCGTTCTACTCATTCATCATCTAAGCTTAGATCTGGCTTCATAATGAACCAAAGAGAGAAAATAGATTGAGATGGTTTGGGCATGTCATGAGGGGAAGAGAAAGACTCAACAAATTGTTGAAAACGATTGAAATGTTTGAGAAACGGAGGATGTATGCCAGGATGATGTCGGGGATCTTGTCAAATGGAAGTTTAGGACGAAGATGGCCAAATAGCTGGGATGAAGACAAAGGGGAAGAAAAGAATGGTTAAAACTATGAGAACGTACTAAACAACCATCAACGCCTATTGTGTCAGTAGTTTATGTTGTATATTTAAGAAAAATAATGAAAATAGCGATATTCGACCCACTTAAATAACGGTAGGTAGTGTAACCTCGGTATCTTAAATAACACGACGAACTATGTTCGTTCGAGCTTTGAAATTGGTTTTTATTTCGCGTGCCGTAATCGAAAAACCCGACAATTTCACTAACAATCTGTCAATTCTTACGAATAAATTAATCAAGTATACACTTACCCAATAATATACCTAATATCGAGGGTATAAAAAGAACGAGTTCAATATTAGACCATTGTACAAACGGTCAAAAGTGGAAAAATAATGCTAATGATAATGGTATTAATCACTTCATGCAGAATACAATAATATTACTATGATGCACGTCTTGTTTGTCGCGGAAGTCTGATCAAACAGGCGTTACAAACAGCATTAAAAACTTTTTCTTTTTTATAGATGAGATAAAAATATGCGCTGACCTTGTTTTGTGCATAATAATGTTATATTATACACTTTTATCGGTTTTATCGTAACGAATGCACGTACACTTAAAAACGATATAGGTACCCATTTGTAAGTAATATAATATAGGTATGTAATAATTATAATAGAAATATTACAACCGCTTAGGATGTGAAGATATTATTGCAATATGTATTAAAATAATATTATATTTACAATCATATCATTAGAGTAATAATAATACGATGACGATAACCCCTATAACAACCTAACCTAACCTAACTGTATACGTTTTTTTTTTTTTTTTTTAGTAAAACAAACACAGGCAATATATATAAAACTATAAAACCCATATAAGCGAGAGATTATATTATTCTCTTATGCATTTTTAAGTGCAATGATAAATTGACGATAAAAAAAAAAATTTTTAAGTATTATTATATCACAAACCGAACCAATGAAAAATATATTAAGCTCTTCTTCCAAATCATTTTCCCAGCAAGTTTTGAATTGCCGTTTATTTTTATTATTTTCTTAAAAATTTGAACTCAAAACGTATATAAAAAATTAACTATACTACGTTCATTTTTTTTTTTTTTACCATCAAGTACAATTTATGATGAATGATGAATCACAAGAACAATTTTCAAAACAATTATATCCATATAAAACCAAATAAATATTGAATAAAGTTAAATATCAAAACATTTTTTTTCTCTACCTATGGTATTCCCGAAAACCATTTTATTTCATATAGAAAACCACATGAAAGAAAAATTAAAAAAACAACGGACAGAGTTCGAATAATAATGAGTGAGTCACTATTGTAGATTAGAAGTTGGGAAGGTAGAAGGGAAATTTAATGTATATCCGAAATCAACGATTAACACCATTGATTAAAAAAACGATTCTGAGAGGAGTTCAGTCATACACGTTTTGAAAGGCCGTAATAGTTATGATGTGACAATAATACATCATGTAAATTTCCCCATTTAATATGAAAATCTCTAGGAAAATTAAAAAAATTATCTCTCTAAAGCATCATTCCAGTCCAACTTCCTTTCAGAAAATTTACTACACTTGAAAATCTGAGCAAAATTTCTAGTAGAAAAGTTGTTTACAGAAAAAAAAATATAATAAACATAATTTTATAACTAATACATTCCTTGCTCCACTAAGAATCTAAAATCATGAACTAGATATAATTTAAATTTAGAAACGATGCTACACGTTTAAATATTTCTAGTAAAAATGATGCTAGCAGTCAGAAAAACAATAGACATCATAGTGAAACCGGAAAATAATAATAATAACGACTTGCTTAAAAGTGAACAATCGTCACAAAACGAAACGTCTGCTGAACGAGTGTACAGGTTTTTATCGCGTTTATGGTTTATAAGAATTGTTTTTTTTTTTTTTTAATATAATATATATCAGCAGTTCCCAAACTCGACACGGTAGCTTAAATGAAAAAAAAAAAACAATTATTTACAATTTAATGTAAATTGTTTAATACATCAATGTTGTCACATTCATTACGTCGAATTAATATTTTCCACTTTTATATAGCTGTTGATTTTTTATCTTGAAATATATTTTTGTATGTTTTTCAATTAGTAATCAATGAAACTAATAATGTTCGTTTCTAATTTGTGTTACTCGCGGTGTTCATTTAGCGGAGCACTGCAGCTGAATTTTATCAAAAAAAAAAACAAAAAAAATATGGTCTTCTAAAAAATTTGAAAACCGCTGGTCTAAATAAATTTACGTAGTTTTACATTTCCGATTGATAAAACATAGCAAGGTAATAATAGTAACTAATGGAATTATTTTATTACCCCGACAAAGTCAATTACAACTATAATACCTATCTTTTAAACTTTGCCCAGATTTTAACATTTTAACCTAAACCTTAATTTACCTCGGGTAAAACCTTTCCTACTTACCATGTTTTTGAAATTATATACATTATGCGTGTCTATTAAAGTGTATACTACAGTCTAGACGACTAGACACCGTCTACTTAATAAAATATATACGACAGAAACAACAAAAAAAATCACCAAATGCCAAGGTCAAACGTGAAAGTACTATAGCATTAAAACTCAATCACAAACTTAAAGAAAATAATATGTATTAGGTTCCCCACAGGCCTTGTTCGTTTTATTATTATTTTATTTTAGGAAATACATAGAATATAGATACCTATTTACTAGCTAAAACATATATTTTCCAATACTCGAATTTTCATTAAAATTTCAAGAATATCCTAACGTAAACTTTTTTTTCTTAATGAGAACACATGTTTGATGTACTAATAATAAATATTGGAGAAAAAATTCAAATGAATAATTAAATTTATAATAATTTTAATAAATCTATAGGTACTGTTCAAAGGAATGTGCATGCTTAAAAAATCATCCTATATGATAATTATCCTATAGCCCGCGGATAGATATAATCGAAATTTAATCCGGTTCACTAAAAATAACACATAGAAAATGTTTAAAATAGTAAAAGTGTATGAATTTAAAAATAGAAATGAAAATTATTTCAAGATCATATGGTAAACAGAACGGTAATAGAATATATACCTACTCACGATAGTCACAGCATTGATTTTCTCAGAGTTTACTTACCTATAAATCTACAATCCATTTCAAAATAATAATATAAGTACAATAAAATATCAAAGATTTAGATAATATTAAATGCAAAAACGAATAACTAGAGTTTTTTTTTTTTTTTTAAAAAGAGCTGATATTGCTCACGGGTTGTTGATTAGTAACTTAGGTTAGATTATAGGAATGAAAGAATATTTCATTTATATCTGTACACAACGATAAATCATTGCTATAGAAATACTATTTCGAGCAAAATTCAGTAAACTTGTTTTGAAATGCCGTGATTTTTACGAATTTCATCAAATTAAACATCATTCGAAAAAAAAACTATATTTTATTGCGTTCAACTTTTAACTACTAAGTACAACCTATGATGAAACACGTGTTACATTTTCAAGAATTTCTGACTGATAATTTTATTCAAATAAAACTATAAAAAAAAACGAAAAATTTTAAATGTTTATAAATAACTAAAAAATAGCCAGATTATTTTAAAATTTTACCACGTCCAAAAGAGTATAAGTAGGTATGTAAAATAAGTATCTTGTGAAAATGTCATATCTCTGAGATTATTCTTAACCAAATAAAAATAAAAAACTAAAATCGAAAACGAAGAAATCGTTAATTCTGTATATTTTCCTATTTTTTCTTATAATTATAAATAAAACTACAAGGAAAATTACATCCTCAATCCACAAACTAGATAAAATTTGCTTCAGAAAAGATGGTGAACTTAAAAAGCAGATCGAGATTTCTAGTAGTTATAAGTTGTTAACAAAATTAAAAGAAAAAAAGTACACATAATAGTAAAAACAATATATTCTCTACATTTACAATCTGAAATTTGATTAATATTCAAGTATAGCAGTTTTGACTTGGTTTAAAAATGTATAAATATTACACAATATGCACAATATTGTTTGATTCTTGAAGGAGACGAGTTTTGGAACTTAAGACATATTATACATAAGTATTGCAAAGGTACATACTTAAGAAGTGAAAGATATTAAGGTACATAATACGTCAATTGAAATTTTTAAACCGCAATATTTTAACAGCAATTTTTATCACGTTTTTGTTGTGAAATGTGGGTGCATGAATTTAAATTGATCTTTTACCAAATTCTAAAATCAGAATATAAGTTTTTTCTGGAAGTTTCATTTATAATAGTAAATGTGCCTACGTTTATACTTTATTTTAATATTTTAGTCAATTATGCGCCTATTTTGGAATTAATAACATATTAAAGGAAATATTGGAAAACGTATACATTTCGAGAAAATGAATAATTAGTGTTGAATGTATAATTATTATTATCAATTGGTCAGCTCCAGAAAATTGAATTTTAATAATAAAAAAAAACAATGTAAATACTTAGTACCTACCCATATTTTTAAAACAAAACTGTTAGGTAATGTTTTTATACTATTTTAAGGCATGGTATATTGCAGATGATAAATTAACACAATGAAACAAACTATTAAAAAACAATATTCAATTAGATGTATGACCTAATAAAGTGAATAGTTTTATCTGAGAATTGAAGTCAATATATCAAATACCAACTACTAGATAACATAAAATTTTAGAATTAAAATACAAATACATTGTTTTACTGTAAATTTCATACCATTTCTACAATTTTCTTTATATTAAACATTTGGGTCATAAAAATTAAACATCACTTACTCAAATAATATTAAAAATATATAATAATTGCAGTACTTTCCCCTTATCTTAACTACTGGCTGATGAGGAGACTATCTGCTTATTACTTAATTGCTATCTCAATTACAGTCTGATTAACTCAAATTCCATTATTTTTGTCATTCAATGATAGGGTTGTCTGATTTTCATATAATAAAAGTTGGTATTTGCTTAACTGACGTTTAAAATTGTTTTTGTTATTATTTAACAATTGATTAAAATTACTGGAATTTAACCAACAGTGGAAGTGACACCATGAATATAAAAATGGCCATAGTAAAAAAATTGTATCAGTATGGATTTATTCATAGCTTTCCATTGATAGTTTTAATATAATGTGATATTTTTATAAAAAAAAATAATTGATAATTTTATTTTATTTTGTATACTTTATAAGTTTCCATTGTTGTGATTGGTAGTTGAGATAACATAAAGTACTAGTTGCTTCGTTCAATTCGACAATATAAATGTACACGGAGGTAAGGGAGTCTTAACGGGAGACCTCAAATCACTATATTTTAATAAAGTGGGTACTGTTTAGGTAATAATTCAATGACATCATCTTTTTTGACAGAAAATAGTATGAATAATAATAAACCTGAAGAAAGTGTAGACGTTGAAATATTGATGACAAAATAATAATAAATATTCATAAACAATATAATATAATATAATAATGATATTATATTTTAAGCAAAATGAGAGATAATAATTACTGCACATTTTTGGTGAATGGTAAATCAATAGTGATAGTGAGTGATAATGTTGGTTGTTGGTAGAACGACGGGTACAAATTATTTCGTGCAATCAAAAAGGAATGTGTTATGTTCAAAACACAACAAATGAAATGGTGAGTTGAGGACTCCCCTTTATATAATATTCAATAGATAAGAGAATAAAACCTTGGTTATACCTATACATATTATTACTGTTAGTAACAATGTTAACATGTTAATGATTGTAAGTACCAGACTTTAAAAAAATTACATAATAATTGTAAGTAATAGATATGTATTATAAACCTGTACAAACCATATAAATAAAAAATGTATTAAATAATTTACAAAAAGATTAAAGAAAAAAAATCAATTAAGCGCCTACTTATCAATAAAAATGAATACCTCCATACTGCAAAATTTATTTATTTTTAAATTAGGACTATTTGATATTTATTTTTCTTTAGGTACACATTATTTTACAATATCTATAATAAAAGTAGGTAACTTACAGTAAATATAGTTTCTAACTAATGAATAATCAGGATAAGAACAAACAAAATTGGTGGTAAAACTAATATAAATTTAAAAAATTGTCAACCTACAGAAGTAATTCTATATAAATTATGCAAGTTTAATAATTAACCAATATTCAAAGTACTATAACTAGGCCACTTTTACAAACACAAATGACATTAAAATAATTTAAGTACATTACTAATTTGTTGGTATGAAGTTTTTTTTATAATTATTAAAAATAATGAGTATCAAAGTACCAATAATGTTACCAATAATAAAGAATCACAGAGAACATTCAAGTAATAATGAAAAAAAATTAATTGGCAATTTTTAAATTTACATTTAAATAGTGTTACCTATAAAAACTTGAGTCCTTATTTGAAAATATAAACATATTGTTTTCTAACTGTAATAGGTACCCATAGAAAAAATAAATAATAAAACTAAAAGAGTTCTTTTAAATGCATTCATTTTAAAAAACATAAATATAGTAAGTACCAAATCGAATGTTTGATGAATATATCTGTCCGTGTTTGATACACTAGACGTTTTTACTCAGAGGAGAGGGTAGCAGAGTCAAATTACTAGTTAAGATATTAGTAAATTCAAATAAGACAAACAATTTATAGATAGTGTCTTAAAGAAACCAAAGAGCATAAATGTCAGCAAAAATGTAAAACAATGCAGTATTAAAATCATAAAATGTGGAATACCTACCAGCCTACAATTTGTATCACTATCAATTTAAAATAACTAGATAAGTACACCTAAAATATTATCAATGTTGATTACTTATAATATTATATATTGTCCAATAGAATTTGTCTAATCAATACCTACATAAGAAAGATTATAAGTTTATTAACCTTAACACAAATGAAATGGAATTCAATTAATTCAATAAAAATAATAAAACACACTAGGTTATTTAATATTTGTTTCAGTAAGTACACAATGAAATATTATTGATTTAAATATTGACTTTTTAAAAATCAAATTAGGTACCTAGATATCGATATACATTTATTTTAACTACCTACTAATCGCATGATTAATTTGTACATTAACTGGATTCTAAAACAAGTAATATTCAGTATCAGATTGTTTAGTTTGAATATACATATTGAAGATACCCTAAGTATGTAAGTAATGTATGCATAACTTTATTTTATAAACACAAGTAAAAATAATTTTTAGACATTTGTTACAATGAAATTAACATATTGATGAAGTATGATCGGTAGCATTAAATTATTTGTCAAGAAATGAGAAATAATATCGTACAATAATATTAGTAGACCAATAGCCAAACACTACTAAATAACATTTAGCAAGTACAAAAAAAATATTACTATTTATTATCACTTTTACAAATTGTCTTATATGTTTATCATGTTTAAATTCAGGTATTTTACATATTTGGTATACTTCCATAAAATTATCATCGTTTGGTACATATTATAATGGCTAAGAATGTCATAAAATACAAAACTACATACTTAATTGACTGAATTAATAAGTAGATGTACAATAGCAATACCTACATGCCTGATAATATCAAAAATCATATTTATAACTCGCATTATGAAATTGAATAGGCACAACGAATGACCTACGCGAATTACGATAACGGTAAAACAAAATGATCGTACAAAAAGAAACAAAAATAGTGATCGTACAACAATGTATGGAGAACCGATTCTTCAGTAATAACCGCTCGATTACTGATGGCTAATATCAAACATTTCGTGACACGGAACAGAGGCACCCAATTATAATTATGGACTATCCGGCTACATAAAATGTGAGACTCTTAAGTGTTAGGTATACATACTTGTGTACAAATTGCTTTATCGTCAGTCTTATTAAGCGATGATGTTCAGTCTTTTAGTGCAGTCTTATTGTGCGGCTTATATGTGTGCCAATTGAACTATAATATTTGTTTGTACGTTTACGTGGTTCCACAGCCTTTTTGTTTTGTTTTCGTTATCCGTCTACGATGAAACGTTTATTGAACAGTCGCCCCGTCCTGCAGCAATCGACCGACATGACTGACGATCGCGTCTCGATCGTACACTACACATGACACTGGGTACAGCAATAATTAGGTGTTATTATTACTGTGATTATAGCTACCTTCTTTAGGTTCAACATAAATAAATATACGCGACGAATACACGAATTAAAACACGCGCGCGACGAGTAATCTGGCGAATTATAATCCAAGCAGGTGGGTGGAGATGTACTGGAACTCGAAACAATTTGTTACTATTTACTAATATTAATTTTACTATAATACTATTTTATATTAGGTATTGGTTTGTTATTATTGTTGTTCCGATATTATTAGGCGATCACATACGAAAACGACAACAAACCCGACCTGACCCGACCCATTACACGCCATCTTTGTTGTTGACGGTCCCGTTATCACGAACAATCGTATTATCAATCGCGGTCGATCATAGAAGAAAAAATTAAAAGGGGGCTATATTGTATTATTTGAAAAAAAAAAAAAAAACAATCTTGCCACACTGTCTAAAACGTTGGACGGAGAATACAATACATGTAGAGGTAGGTAAATACTTATTGCGAATTACATAATCCATTTTCTTTTATTGCGTGTTCAAATAAATACCTACATACAAAAAAAAAAAAAGTTAAAAAATGTATTTTACTTCCAATCGTTATGCACAGAAAAACAACATGTTGGGTCAATAATATTAATAATTAATATTATTGGGCCGATAATGAATTTAATTTTAGGCACGTATCTATCACATAGTGATCTCGGCATTGATATGGGTATAAGATATATCTAATAAAACCCCGATTTCATAGAATAATCATTGTAAATTACATTTAATACCTATGGTTTTTCTTTTTTTCTTCACCTTATACACAAAAAAAAAAAAAAAAATGTTTTTCTAATTATTTCTTGTAATTTACTGCGGATTAGAAATAATTCCTATGACCGAACAGAAATACACATAATAATAAAACCGATAGATTCTCCGCTAAAGTTAGAACTGTTCAATGCGGTAAATGGTTAAAAAGTCCAGGTACCAAGTCCTTTTTACATGATTTTGGACAAAAACTCCGAGTGTTAAATTTTTTCATGGCCAGACGTGAATTTCGCTCGATTTAAAAATACCGAGGTTACCCGAATGCTTCTCAAAATGATCTTTTTTCAATGTCCCGAGTGCGTCCCGATAAAAAAAAAAGGTCATTTTTGCAACGCAGTCCTTTTTATATTTGACTAATTTAGGGCGAGTGTATACTAATTTTATTATACTAAAGTTTTACTAAAAATGTATTATATTAAAGATTGGTGTTTAAATACCGTTCTTATTGTGTTGACTTAACATGACATTATTGCCATCTAGCAATGACATTTTTTGAAAAATTTGAAGATAACGTCACTACTTTGTTATTTCGTTCATTAAAAGACTACACATCTAGGTACTAGTCGTAGTCTATATTAATTATTATCACAGTTGAAATAAAATCCTGTTTTAATTAGTTTACCTTAAATATAAAATAAGTAGGTACCTACAGGTGCGGGTAATATTTATTATACGACTGTAGACTCTGACAATTTAATTTGATTTATCAAAAAGATTGCGGACGCAGTCGGGTTATGGAAAAAGGAAAAATGTTAAGCGGAACGCACTCGGGATATCCTCAAAAATACCTTGTCACAACTGTGATTGTAAGTCGCGTTTTATTATAAGCGTTTTACCTTTGTGCAAAATCTTTTTTTTGAGCATTTCCAACGAATAAGCAAATCACTTTAGTGTTGGATTGTGTATGCATATCCGGCGTAAACAACTTGTTTACCATTTGTAATAATAATCCTCATCCATTATTAAATTAAAAGAAAAAAAACAACAAATATGACCTCCGAAAAACAAACGCGGAATGCTTATGTACGGTACCAAACAATAATACTGAACTACTAATAATACTAAACAATTCAAGTTTACATCGATAAATTTCGGTTGTACAAATTCTTGGCGTTTAGCAAACAACATAATTTATAAAAATCCTTAATCAGACATGTACTCGGATACCTATATGTACACATATTATATCAGTAAAATAAATATTATGAAAACCGCGTAGATACCTATAATCTGTGTAATACAAATTTATAATTTGTTGGTATCGGAAATTCTAACTCTATTTTCTATTTATTTTAGATTTTGAATGGAGCGAAGAGCATATGGTTTTACAAAGATGTTTATTTTTATTTTTATATGTGCGCAATTTTTCTACAAGAAGACTTGCTCAGATTTTTAAGTGTAGCACCTTTTCCGAAAAGAAATCAGAGTGGAGAGGTACCTTAGGGAGGTCATTTTCCCAAGAATTTTCCAGATAAATGTGAAAAACCGGGATAAAACACGGGAAAAACGTAAGAAAATTGAGAAAATCGGTAAAACATTAAACTAATATTCTTAAAGAAAATATATATAGCCTATTTAATTATGTTGATATAACATGACGTATATATTGTTAACAAAGCATCACTATCAACTGTAAAACTCCAATCAGAATTGTTTTTTTGTAAGCAACGATTGCTTACATTTATACATTAAATTACCTATAACAGTGGCCGCACCCGTTTCCATTATCCTAAGATTTTTTTTTAATCAATAAGCTGAATATGTATATCTACACATATTAGCAATGGCTACATAAAAGAAAGAGCAGATACTCTGGGCCCTAGGAATACATAAAATTGTATACTTTAGGTAAGTAATGGCAAACAATTGCTAACAGAAAATGGTTTTGAGTGGAACTCAGTTGAGTTAACAATTCTTTAAAACAAATAACCGTAACATAATTTATAATAAATATCAACAATTAACCGTATTAGTCCACTTGTTGTTAAAGTAACTAAGAAATCCAAAAATATATTACCAACAATTTTGTATATTTTTTAACAATACCTAACTAGAGGAAATCCATGAAAATATTTTACACACATTTAGTCTGAATCGCAAAATCACTTAAAGAAAGTTTTTGGTAATAAAAAAAATTACATTATGGTATTTTTTTCCGACCGTCAAAACATTGAGCTAGAATAATTCTTAAATGCATTTTATTATTTTTAACCATGACATATTCTAGAGTATTAATCATTTTTTCTGATTATGAGTTGGTCCCAATTATTCAGTCAGTCTCATTCGAAAAGTTATATCTTATATGCTCAATTTGAAGAGTATTAATTTATATACTAATACTTTACTATATATAATAATAATAATATTTATCGAACTCGCAATTTACGTTACCTACCCATTTTATTATTATGGTTTCATAACTCCGCTACTGTGCATAATATTTTTGTCGACCTGTCTAATTTAGACCAGTTATACATATATTCATTTTTATAAATGTCTTTGAGTCGGCGAATAAAATTGTGTTTCGTGTAACTAAAAAGTATTACAAATTACAATTGCACGTATAGATTTAAAAATAGGTGAACGAACTAAATATTTCAGTTGGAAATATAAACAACTTACAATAGTTGCGTGATTTCGTATGTATAATATATTATATTAGTATATTAAAGGGAGATGAATTTAAAAGTAATTGGGTTTAAATTCAAATTTTCGGTACCTGTATATAAACTATAAATTATGCAAATCATGATGTCAGCGCGGTCATTTTTAATCATAAGAACTTGGTGTCGAAAAATCGTTATATTTCTAATTGTTGTTTTTAGTTTTCATAATGGCTTACGATTAATAACTGGGACTTTTTTTTAAATTTATATTTAAGTGAATTTGAATATTTTTTATGTTAATACATTTTCATCTTTTTAAAACATTCGTTAAAATTTACAAGTCTGTATTGTTTCTACTATTGGTATTATAATTAATTTCGCTTTTAGAATTTGTGTAGTAATTTTATTTAATACTTGGGGCCAGTTTTGATCATGTGTTTATGATTAGTCAATCAATGATCAAAATAGAGTGTGATTGTTTTATACAATATTTTTACTATTTTGTAATACAGTTGTTACTCATTCGTGTGATAAGTACTTTGTCTTATAATCAAAAGGTAAATAGTATTTTATTTGAATTTTAAACCTTTTGAAAAATTTACAAATAGGTATTTTGTTATAGTATAAACTGAAAAATAATTGATAATGGACTCAAAGAAACTTACATCTAATTTCCTAACAGTAAAAACTGCTATACATTGTATTAGTGAAGAAGCACAATTTTCCATATTTTTTCTCAAATTGTGTATATTTTTATAATACATCAAAGAACTAGAAGATATTTGGGTGTGCTGAGTAAAACATACTGTTAAACTTGGAAGGAAAGGCATCAAAACCATTCGTAGTTCGAGTTATTGAACATGAATATATTTTCCAGAGTAGAAGGTAAGAAATTACAATTAGAGTTTAGGTATGTATTTAATACATAATCTGAAAATGTATTGTTGTATTTTTTCATCATTAGGTCAAATTGATATAATATCGTCAGTAAAAAAATCCTTGACTTCATCTGATTTCAAAAATTCGGGAAACAATTCTTGTAATCACTTATCAATTTTTTAAATTTTGGATGCAATTCGTATGCAACCCCGTGGAAAACCATAAGAAAAGATTGTGTGGTAGATCGAAACAACGGTGATTAGATGTTGTCAAAAATGTTACAAGGAATTTACGTCAAATTGGCATGGGGACCTAAATCATGTGTATAAGGAAGAATCGAAGAAATTGGTATTGGCAGCATATGCTGTTAACAACATAAACTAGTTAAAACAAATGAGTTAATTTGTCTAACTTAAATTTTACGATTAATACCATGATGAAAATTATAATTAATTTTATTTTTATTGAGTCGTATTACCGAAAGCAAATAATTATTCTGGCGAATGGATAGGCAACATATATGTCACTGGATCAAGTATGAAAGTCTTTGATCATAATATACTACGAATAATATACTGTCGAATTATTTGAAGACAATATATTTTAGCGGATTGGATATTATTGCGCGATAAACAAATTGGAAGTAAGTGAACTTTATATTTCTTCTTAAATGTTGTTCTGAGATAAGGATATTAAAACGCAAAATATATTTGAATTTGAAATTTTGAATGTAAACAATTTACAAGCTATTCAGGCATTCAGAAGAAAAACTAAATCAAATTAGGAAAAACGTCACGAATTTTCGTGAAGTAGTGATTATGAATTGTGAATTGTGAAAAAATGTTATAATTATTATTACTATTATTATTCATTTATTTCTCAAAAAGAATACTGGGTCTCACTGAGTGTTGTCGTGTGGAGTTCCAGGGGTTATTAAGTAAATATGAGTATAATAAAATTATTAATGGCATACGTGATGTACGTATAGTAGTTAAGAATAATTAATTATGTAATATAAAGAGAAAAAAAATGTATACCTAATGGTTAATAAAACTAAATGTAAAAACAAATTGTCACCTAAATATAAACTTGAAATGATAAAAATTTAATATACATTATGGCACACAGAAAATATATTTTATAATAATAAATTAGTGTTAAATTCAGAAAGAAACAATTTCGTAATCTTTTTTAAACCTATTTAGTGGTAATGTGTGTAGGTGTTTTTGGTATTAAATTTAGAATCTTAGTACCGATAAATTTATGTTGTTTTTGTGAGGCTCTTTTATGAGGCCAGTGTGTTGTATAACTATTTTTAGCAAACCTAGTATCAACACCATACACAGAGGCTATGGGACGCTATGATTTTTTTTTAAAAAAAGACTGCTGATTTGAAATTTGTTATTTATTTTATATTTATCTTCATACGTATCGTATCGTATTTTTTATCTTTTTTTTAAGGTGATCCTAATAATTAATGTATTTTGAATAGTTTACAATCGAGAGAGAACGTTATCATAAGAACTTCCTTAGCCTATTATTCCATATGATACAATTGGTTCTATCAGTGCCAACTAAATAAACCTTAAATCGATCTTACTTAAGATATCTTAAAGCTCTTTCATTATACATAGGAATCATTTTTCTAGTCTTTTGTGTTATTGAATTTATTCGTTCATTTCATTTTTTATTTGAGCACATTTCTACATCCAAATATTCAACGTTATTCATAATGTTTATTTTCTTACATTGGTAATTTATATCATAAGTATAATACGTATTTTCATGTAGTATAATATCTTTTTTATTTGGTAACGTATTTATTCTCATGAGTGTAATGCGTGAATGCAAAATGCGACATGGTATATCACGAGGGCTGGCGGATATAATATGATAAATATGTGACGCGTCATCACGTGCATGCGTAATAGAAGTCAAAACGCCAGAGACTCGTCACTAATTTTGTTTTCAAATCCGTAGTACAAGCTTCTATGCCGTGGCTCTCTTGATGGCAAATGTTTTAAGATGGTAACAAATGTGCGAGTTACTCCAATTTTATATATATTCTGGCGAACGGATAGACAACAAATATTGCACCTGATCAAGTATGAAAACTAACATGCGTATCACTACAATTCTATAATAATATGTACGCTGAAAAAAGGCAATTTCTGTTTCATTTTTAAATTTGCTAACTACTTATCTACCTACTATGCACATATATTTTGTGTCAAATTTTAGAATTTGAATACTTCTAAAGGCATATCCTTGAGAATAATACTATTTATTTATATAATTTTAATCCAGTTACTTTTATTAGTCTGTAGAGGTATTTAAAACCTTGTATTTTCTATAAAAATACAAAATTTGAGTTGAAAAATTTTGGGGCCAGAGTTGAAAGTAAAAATCCCAAAAGGATTTTCCTTGATACATACATACCTTTGTGTAAAAATTTTTATCCCCTAACTTCATAAGAGAGGGCACCTGTAGGGATACACTCTCTATCCGTAATGGCTTGTTTACAAGGGACAAGTCGGCCGTGGAACTAGTACTTGCTATTTGGCCGAGTATCGATATTGACCGAGTCATCTTATTCGCTGGGCCAAGTGGCTATCCCCACTACTAAGATATATTGAACAACTACTCGTTATACAACACCCGGCTGGTGGTTTAGATCAGCGGTTTTCAATCTGGGGGTCGTGACCCACAAAGAAATCGCGAGTGATAGTTAGAGGGTCACCAAAAACTACAAGTATCATGTATTTTGTACATCATATTTACATTCGAGTTCTATTAAACGATTTTTGAAGGGGTCGTCATAAATAAAAAAAAAAAATTAGGAGATCACGATTCGTAAAAGGTTGAAAATCACTGGTTTAGACTAATGACGGGCACATTCGAATAATTAATACTATCGATAGTTTTCGATAGTATAGATGAAAGATCGATATTTTTTCCCATGGCTTCATACTCATATTCAGAAAAAACGAGATTGGATATCTAGATATTTACATCTTGGCAGTGGGGAAAACCAACGAAGACCTTCCTTTTGTTTTGAATGTCAAGTGTGCTAAGTTTCATCTAGAATTGTAGATTTATACAAAAAGTCAATCTAAATCAAATTTTATTTTATACAAATATCGATAATTTTTCAATGCTGAACGATTTATTATTTTTTTTTCTTTGTATTTAAAATATACTCTATGAATGGCTACTTTCAAATTTTTCAAATTTAATTAAATTTCATATTTTATTATTTTTCGTAATTTCTAGTCAATTTTTAAAACGTTTTACCAAAACATAAAATATGAATTGTAATATAAATATTTGTAGACCTTATCCCAGTGAGTAATATAAAAAAACAATTTGATTTTTGTTATCATCTCCAGAGATATTACAAAAGCTAATGGGTATATTTTCATGGGACTAGGAGTGTATTAAATACAGGATGTATTTCTAGTTTTAGTAATCCTAAAATTAGTTTGTTGTAACTGTCCATATCACTCTGCAGTTTTCATTTGAGCAAAATTTATATGAGTAACTAACAAATCTAAGGTTCTTTTAGGGAAGATCGAGTTGTGGGGGTGGGTCGTGGGGGAGGTCTATAATTTTTAGATAATAGGAAGAAATATTCATAAATTATGTCATACTTCACAATTGCACTAGAAATAATAGAGTTTTAGGTTCTAAGTGAAACGAAGAAGCTTATGGTTTTACAAAGATGTTTTTTTTTTATCTGTTAACAGCTTTAACAACTTTTCTACCAGAAGAATTTCTCGGATTTTTACTTTAAGTACTTGAAGGAGGTCATCTTTTGATTTTTCATAAAAATTGTAAAACCAAAACAAAACAGGAAAATGTATGAAATATATTATTCGAATATTACTATTTTTTTTTCCTGTGAAAAATTTGTCTACCAAAAATTTTGTTCCAACTTTTAATGATAGCAATGTTTCTGAAAAGAAATTTCACTAGGGACTAGACTTTTTCGATTTTCTTAGGAGTTTTCCCAGCAATTGTGAAAAACCGGGATAAAACATGGGAAATCCGGGAAAAACGTAGGGAAATTGGAAAAATCGGTAAAACATAAAACAAATATTATAGGAGAAAATATATAAAGTCCATTTAATTAATTTACTATACAATGACATATATATATATATATATATTGTTGACAAAGCATCGCTATCAACTAAACTCCACTCAGAATCGTTTTTTCGTAAGCAATAGTTGATCGTTTCTTACAGGTATACATTTAATTATTTATAATAGTGGCTGCACCTGTTTCCTCATATCCTAGGACGCCTTTTTAAGTTTAATTGCAATAATTTAAGTTGCATATTACTCCATCGTCAGCAGTCGTTTATACCGAGTCGTCACGCTATTAATTTGATCGTGCGTAATTCGATCACGTATAATACCTAGGTACTTACCTAACTATAATTCGCGCAGTTGCAACTATCCATACAGCAAAAAAAAAAAAAAAAAAAAAAGGAATGGTAAAAAATTAAATTTAAATTATTTCGCAAAAAATAAATCGATTTATAATATAAGTTCTGGTAGGTATCAAATAATACCTTCTATTTCAATTGACCAAATATATATTTTAAATCAAAAAAAAAATGTCTATCAATACATATATATTGGAATGCATATTATTATAATAATTATTATTATTGTCGTATAACTTTCCATCTCTAACGAATTTTTTTTTTTTTTTTACATTCCATCCGTAATGCGAATACCGATATTATACTTGCGCATGTGCGCTGCCTATTTTACTTTCTCTCGAAAATTCGCATTCATAATAATAATAGTGTATAGCGTAAGGTTACGAGGCGAAACATTTTTAAATTGTGCGGTCACTATAATGGGTAATATCGTTTAAAAGAAGTTCCCATTACCCACGACGGTGATATTATATCGCCGTCGCGGTTCCCGCGGAGAAATAATTTATTCATGTTGAAGATATCGCTGCAGTTGCTCGTAATATTATAACACTTTTTATGTACGATATGTAAAATATATGAAAAGATTAAAATGATATATTTTGTATACGCCAAATGCTAATTGATAAATTTTAAAATCAGGGCTGGCGATACGAAATATTAACCGGTGGGGGGGAGGGTGAGAGATCGAGTATTCTTTTTATCAAATAGTGGTTTTTAAAATAATTATTTTCCTACATTTTCCAGTTTTTCTACGTTTTTGTTCGGTTTTGCTGAATTATTAAAAAAACTGCTTGGCAAATCAAAAAACGACTTTCTTACTCACCAATTCAAAATTTAACTAAAAAAGGCCCTTGTTGTTTTTGTATTCAAACAATATTTCTTGTAGAAAATATAAAGCGTACAAGTTAAAAAATAATGTAATCGTAAGGCCATGAATTTGTCAGTACCTACCTATTCAATTTACGTTTTTTTCCGGTTTTCCTAATTATTCAATTATTATGAAAACTACTTGGAAAATTAAAAACAACTTTCTACGTACTAAATCTAAAATTTAACAAAAAAGGGTTCTTGTCGTTTTACTATTGGAGCAATATTTCTGGTTGGAAATCTAGTTTGTAAAAATTAAAAATAATTAAATCGGTAACGTGCCGTAAATATTTGCCGTTTTTCCGATAATTTTTTACTCCAGTTTTTTCTAATTATTATGAAAACTCCTCACTTGCGTACTTAATAATACCAACGTATAATGTACGGACAATTTAAATAATAGAGGAACGAAGATTTGTGTTCACGTTACTTCGAAATAGGAACTTTTTCCCGGTTCCCGTTGCTTTATTTTAATAGTACTGCGTTCATTCTCAAAACTGTATTTGCTATGACGGGGCATGGTGTCACAAAATCAATTGATTCCGAATCGTTATATGTCTGGCATATTAAATCGGTTTGGTTACGAAGAAATTGGACAACTTGAGCGTTACGTCAGTGCAACTTTGTTAGTACGGGGGCAGGTAGTTATGGAGTCAAGCTGAATTATTTTCGTCCTAGGTATTTTAAAAAACACATTACAAATTCAAAGTGGTCGCACACAAATATAGGGATAATTATTGAGAATCTTAAACAATTTTTCAATTAGATAACTAACCGTATCTTCTATTAAGATACCGTTCACGTAAAACATTTTATTTATATTTTAATTTTAATTTATCGAGTATCTATAGCGTATATAATTCATAAAACGTACATGCATCGGGCATCTTGTATTGAAATACGTTTTACATAAGTATGAATGAATACTGAAAATCAGTATGTATTTGTTACCGAGTATCTTATTTTGAAGTTTCTTATCCATATCTGCCTGCAGTCAACTCTTACAGGCCCCTCAATATCTGGCGCCATCGCTGCGACCTACGCGGAGGTTAAACGCTGCAGATAGTTATCATAATAGCCGCGTAGTGTTATTTGTAACGCCGGGTGACGACGAAACAGTTTTTTTTTTTAATTTTTTTTTTTTTTTTTTATATATATATATAATTCGGTGGTTGTGTTATATTATACGTGTTACGATCGATGTGCACCAGTGAAGAATATGTTATTATTAAGAGGGTAGTGTAAAAAGTATTATATTATTAAAATATATAGTATACCATCATTACGACGACGATGACGTGTGAGGTGCTAGAGCTGACATATTATTATTACAACAATATCGTGTATAATACGATAATATGTAATATTATGTGCACATATATATTAATATTATATAGTACTCGAACCTATTACGGTTACGTCGGGCCCTTCGAGTATACGCGGGATGAAAAATCGAAAAAAAAAAATCGTAGGGTCGAGGGCTATTGAACTTAACTCGGTGTCCGATTACATACTTATACACTTGCAGCAGCATCAGTCACGTCACATGGTAATTCCAATCGACACTGCTGCACCGCAGTGTGTACGTGCATCACGTGTTCCGTCGTATATTATAATAACTGCACCAGACGGTCTTGACGATGATTTTCGTATATGCCATAATTATATTATAGCATCTTAAAGGGGAAAAAAAAATTGTAAATAATAATGATGATAGGTTTAAAAAAAAAAAAAAAAAATCCCCATTCGTTTAACTATGTGATTTGATCGTCGTCGTCGTCATCGTCGTTGTACATAAATGCACCGCCATCCATACTAACATATTCAAGAAATTCGCTAGTGCAAACAGATTTTAAATACTGCTGTCTCTAGTTGTTTCCTGTGCAATTACTATTGAAAAGAACTTAGTTCATATACAATTTAAAAATTTAAAACGGTCAAGTTAGAAATTTGAGGCATAAAATAGCATATGCCACGTCAGATGTTTTATTGATTTCCGTTAAAAACTGACGGCACAGTAAATGTATTAGCTGTAGCCGATTAATTAGGATTTTACGGGAAATAGTAGGTTTACATTGGTGGTAAATTAAGATTGATAACTCTGGCCCATCTCGTCACGGCAGTCAAAAAAGTCTGAATAGGTTTAATTTACATAGATTTTTCTATTTGAGGGGAAACTCATATCGGTTTGCGAATGCGAATATCTTGACTGTACAAAATAACTGCAGTATAGTAATAATTCAAATTTACGTCGAAAAAATTATTACTCTC